ATAAAATGCCTTTGCGAGCCACTGCTAATTGAAGAGCGTAAAGAAATAGAAATTTAGGTTAATGTAGAGATATTAATTGGATAAGGAGATTTTCTTAATAGAAGAATAATCTCGGAAATGATATACACAAAAAGATAGTAGAAAGCTTTATACTCAGAGTGATACTGATTTTTTGGACTCCATCTATAATATTTTGATTTGATTGATTAGTTGTATATTATGAGGTTTGTAATTGTTTTTTTATTAGTATCTTTCTTACCATTTTAATGAAGAATATTGTTTATCTTCTCTGCTGCATTTTCGTTATTTTATTGTCATATAGAAAGTTACATTTATCACATCACATTGAACTGCGTTATTTCTCTCCAGAGTTATGCTACATTTTAATTTAATTGAGCTAAGAATTTCGTGATATATATTATATATTTATTCTAATTAATTAACTTATATTTATAATAATACGATTTTATCTCTCTCAAAGTGACTATACTGTTAGAGGAACTTGCTATAATTACATTGATAATTTCTATGCAAAAAGATGACAACTTTTGTTCAAAACAAGTAATTTTTAGATACTTTAAAATTATTTAATTCGTTGGCGTAAATTTATATCTGCTTTTTCTTCCTTTGTATAAGGCTTTATTTAATTACAATTCTTTGTTTTAAATCATATATTCGTATTCTTAACATGCGAGTTGACTTTTTACACACTCTTGGTATCTCATTGTATTTATATTGTATTGATAAAGATCATCGTTAATTTATATTTATTATACTGTATTTAATATACGTGTTACTGCACATGAACAACCTATGTTACTTACATTGGCGTTACTTATTATTCCTAAGAGTTATTGTATTGTAGTCTCCCGATTTAACGTTCTGTCTATATCTGAAATTAAAAAAAAAAAGGTTTATCAGAAACATCAGAGACTTGCAAGAAATTATAAATGATCGCTTTGCAAGCTATGTCAAAACAAGTTATTTTAATCGTTAACCGTTATATCGCAAAGATGCAAATCAAATAATTTAAATAAATTGTACGATTTCTATTATGATTATTGTAGATTTTTTTTAACATTATTCTTATTACTAATATTCACTAATAGCCATACCTACTAATAGCCATAGTTTGCAAAATGACGTCATATCGAACAAAGTAGGCAAGTGACACACATAATGTTTCGCGCAGCTACAGCCACGAACTATATTCGCGCGTAAAATATTAATAAAAAGCTTTTTCCGACGTCGGTTGATGACCGTCACCATTATATCGATTTGAGACATGAAGTGGAAGTTACGATGTCTCAGGTCAAGGATATGAACACCATGATTAATATATGAATACTTACACATACACAAGAAGTCACATATATTATAATTTTACTCATTTTTGAAATTTCATATCTCTCGCTTGGAATGCATATAAATAATGATGCACAAAAGAGTCTGAAAATTTTAATTCTATTTATCTTAATTCTGAAAATAGAAAAATTTCTTGCCATGGGTAAAGACTTTTGTATGGAATATATGCATATATTCTACAGGACACATATTTGGCATGTAAAATTTTATATGCCAAAGATTTGAGAAACCAAAATTGACATTTGTGCAAATTTTACTAAATGTGGATAGATTTAAGTAATGACCCTAAAGGCTAAATAACGTAATAATTTAATTTGATACATTCAAACTCACAGAATAAACAGATTTTTTTCACGATGTTTATTTGTATTGAAAATATTAAATAAAATAAAAAAATTTTTTTAACAAAATTGTCGACTTCTCAACTTTTAATATTAATTTACTACGTTAGAATTTTTGTACACTTGAAGAGAGCCTAAATATAAGACCAAAACATGTAATGTATATGTATTATATTTTGCAGCGTTGAATGTATTCTTATTTCTTGTAGTTTTTTTTATATTTATATTTAATACACTTAATTATGGAGGTTTCTTTTATTATTTCTTGACTCTCTTATTAGCCTTGTGTATCACATTATTGTATATTGAATATTAAGAGTCCTGTAATATTTTAACTACTTTTAATTGTTTTTAAATCAAACAAATTAATTAGAATAGCTTATACAGGTATTAAACTCAGATTCATCAGAGTACAAAAAGATAAACTCCCTTTACTGGTTAGAAGTAATGTTGTTTATGAAATTAATTGCAAAGATTGCGTAAGTTCATACGTGGGTCAGATTAGTATAGATGTTTAAATACAAGAACATAAGAACCATATTAATTGGAATACTAATCAACATTCAGTGAAACATTACGGAACATAACCATGAGTTTGATTGGAATAATATAAAAATATTGAATGAAGAAAAGTATTGTCAAAGAGATTAATTTTTGAGATGATTCATATTAAGAATAAAACATCCAGTTCGAATCATCAGAATGATACCGCGTCATTAGATTCTATATACCATACATGGAAATTTTTAGTAAGCCTTAACGTTTTCCCTCTCTCATTACATTTGTTTCTTATTTGTATGTTGACAGGTTATATATATAATCACACAGAACTATCCGGTCATATCAACATTACCGTTATAACGTTTTAATGTGTTTCTGTTTTCTTTACTTTATATGATACGTAAGTGTAAATTATAATTAAATTTTTAATACTTTTAACATTTATTTAATTGATATTTAATACATAATAATATAGTTCTATTTATATCATATAATACATTAATCAATTTGATGTAATATTGGAAACAGGAAACTCACTCAGTAACTTGTTTAAATTTATGTAAGTGTTAGAAAAATTATTAATTTTATTTATATATTTTGTTTTAACAGTTTAATATTTTATTAGTAGTAAACTGGAACTCAATGATATTACAATATCTGGATGACCATATTAACTCAATTTTAGAGATAATTAAATTTTAAGATCGAAACATTTTATACTGAAGAGGATCCAAAAATTAGGATTGAAACGTTTATATTGTTTAAATTGTAGTTAGGATAACTATATATTTGTATATTATAATTGTTTAAATACATATATTATACAATTAAAATATGGTTGACTCACTAAGGCTCATTCTTTCATTTATTGAGTAATAATTTAAGTTAACCAAGAGCTCTTGCACAACAATTAAGTATAAATATTTTAATGAGCGAATTTATTTATAAAAACAGCATTTGAGAAACGTGCTCCGAAATTTCAACTTAATACTAAGATGTATTTATTAATTTGTATTTATTAATTATATACACAGGCGTAACAAATGCACATATGTATGTATGTACATGGAGTATATAAAATATTGGAACCCTTGAATATTCCGAAAAATATAAGTTTTACAAAAAAAATATTTTAGACAAAAATTGTAGGGTTTAAAAATCTACTAATCTTATAATTACAGTTAGATCTCAGTTGGCATCACCGAGGTCAAATCACATTTAACTCTTTAAGTCTATCTTGAGAGTTTTTCAAAATATTATAATATATTTTTTTATCAAATTTGTTAAACATAAATTATAAGGCTTGAAAATTACAATAGGTAGTGGTGTCGATTGTAACAAGAAAAACATGTTTTTGCAGCTAATTAATTTATCATAAATGAGAGGAAATCTAAATTTTGTATGAAAAACAATTAAAGGCCTCCTTTGACATTAATTTTAACATATAATAGATATTTGAAAAAATAACAAATTATAAAAAATATTTACCGTTAATGGCATCGCTGCAACTTGTTCCAATTAACACTGCGGTGATGTTTGCATATAAGCATAATTTTGTTGAAATCGAAGGAACGTCTTTTGAATAATTACAGTGTTACAATCGATATCACTATGATTGTTACTTTTGCAACCACCGCCGCTTATTTCGATGCCCATTAAACTCACATGTAAACAACAAATTGAATTGATATATATACCTAATTTGCAAAGCTTGATATTCATATATTTATATCAAACAGTATCGTTGTATAATCATTGTGGAACGATTGCAATAAAATAACGGCGGATATCAAAGATTACAATTTGTTCTTGATTCTAAGAAAATAGGTGCTGCTAAGTTTGCACTTGCGAGTGGCCACTCGGTTCTTCGTCAATAACTTACGTTTGTTAACGCTATGCAACTGTGCATGTATTCAGCCTATCGTCAATAGATTGAGCTATTGCGATCAATGTTACAATTACTCTCTACAACCAACACCACTCTCCCCTACCGCTAGCATTAGCATTATCTAAAGATGATGTTGAATTGTGTTATTTATCAGGTCCCAACTTGCAGCAGGTTGTGTCTCTTTCAATTCCGTCTTTGAAGATATGTTACATCCGTTAATTGCTATGTTAATTGAATTCTACTGCAATTCAACATCACATTAGACGTAGGTATGCCATATCAATAATTGGATTAAAGATAAATGAATAACAAGCCTTCGATATGTTTGTCATTGTTAAGCGACTACATTCAACAAAATTTAAAACGATAATGCCAAAGTTGGGATCTGATTAATTAATGTAAGATTGAAAACAATAGATTTTAATATAGTGCACGAATTACCACGTAGAAACAAGTATATTCTCATTTACCCGTTATTATACCTACTAATTCTTTGCAACTTATATTTCATATTTCCAAGTACAATATTTACTATCCTTAAATATATCTGTCTTTGCACTTTTTACACTTAAGGATGAAAAAATGAATTCAAAATAATGAATTAACACATTTATTATAAAAAGTTATTTAAATTTTTATTTAAACAAATATTCACTATTTCTGAACAAAATGAAAAATTAGAGAAAAGAATAATAAAAATAATAGTTTTAAAAAATTTTGATAATTTAAATTTAAAAAATGTTCCTAGATATTATGCGATTTCCTCTATCTCAGATATCTAACAATAAGTTTCGATTGAGAAAAGTTAAAAGATCATCTTCATACGTATTCTGAAAAGATATAGCAATAAACTGCTTTGTTAATTTATTGTGTAATATGTTTTCACAGTTGTAGAGCTTAAAACAGACATCAAAATGGGTACGGCGAACGCACAAACCAATTCAGGATATGACGATGCTCACTCGAGGGGAAGTTCGATCGACGCGTTCTTCACTGAGACAGTGATTCTTTTAACCGGCGCTACTGGCTTCTTAGGAAAAGCTCTTCTGGAAAAGCTGCTACGTTCGTGTCCCCGTGTGGCCACAATTTTTGTTTTAATCCGTCCAAAAAGGGGCCTATCCGTCGAGCAACGTTTCAAGGAACTACTGAGCAATCCCGTTCGTATACATATTACTACAAAAGTGATACAATTCTAAAATTAAATTGCCTAACAAAACTATTTTTCAACTTGATAGAAAATTATATTGATTAATCGAATCATATTGGCAAAAAGAAAGTAATACTTTCAAAAATATGATTAAATGTTATTTTGTCATTTTTGTCACATAAAAATAAAGTGTCTTTCTTAAGTTGAGATGATTTTGATATCCTCATATAACGCACAAACTAAATTATTTTGAACTGTCAACGGACGGACTATGAAGTTAAGTTAGTTCCCTTTTAATGATATTTGTATAAGCTAATTTCTTATATGTATATGTATACCTAACGCATTCATGATAAAACTTGAAAATCATTTTTTTATTCATCATATTTTAAAAACAAATGCAATTACAAATCACATCTTTGCTTTAAAACTTACAATCAATTCATAAATCGGTTATATCTATAATCTAAAATAGAAAAATATTTTTCTTGTCTATCATCGTTAGAAATATCAAAGAAAATGAACAACATAGATTGAGCTAATTTAAATTTGTAAAGAGCGCACGAGAATTTTTAAGGCTATTAAACTAGAAAACTTTTTATATTTACCACAATATATTTATTGAAAATTATACGAGAATTAACATTAACTTAAAACGAATTTTTTGTTATAATATTCTTTATGTTATAATATTCGAGTCGACCCTTCTTCAGTCTAAAACTTATTAGAAGCTGAAGAGAGAGAGAGAGAGTCTCAGAAAATTTTTAAAAATATTCACTTTATATTAAGAATTCGATTTTTTAATAACATTATATCTTACGGAAACTCTTACATAGTTACTTTTATCAGTAATTAGTCCTCTGTAAATTTAATTTTATTGCATATACCTATGCCAGATTTCTTATGGACGTAATAACATACGCACTTATTAAATTAATGCAATATCGATTTCCTGCAACGTCCCTAGAACGTTTTAAATATTTTACCTGTAATGTACTTATGTCTAAAGTGTCAAGTTTTCATTGAAAAGTACGACAAAAGGTCGCAATTGTCGCCGTTCTCACAACTCTCTAAAACTATGATATATTAATCTAAAATCGTTATTGCATTCAATACGTGTGTGTGTGTGTGTGTGTGTGTGAGATGAGTTTGATAAAAAAGTCACGTTTCTTTTTAAGACTTCTAAGTATATAAAAAAATTTTAAAGAATATTTTTTAGTCATTTTATCTATAGTGTTCAATCAGCTGAATATCTTTGTTTTAGACTATTTCTTCGAAAACTCAACTATTTTCGGAATATAAATAACTAAAAAAAGTTTGATTGCAAGTTTAAAACAAATTTGTTATACATATCTATATATTTATACCAGAAAGATTGTTTTTTTCTAAAAATTTAAAAAACCACTCAAGTTATATTTTAATGAAATTTTAAACATATATATATGGGTACAACATTTTATTAAAATAACCTGAACTGTTTCTAAAATTTTTGGAAAAAACGAAATGTTTTCTTCAATTTTGACACATGTGTCTTTGAAACTATAATAATAATAAGCTGTTTCGAACATACAGTCATATGAAGTTTCCATCTTGAATTTATATGAGGATTTACTTCTTAATTTTTTAAAGTACTTAGTACTCATATCCTGTATATGTAGTACACATATATAATTTTGCGTTCGATATTTTTCCGCGCGCTCCTCGTACGCTCTTACGAAACAATATGAGAAAGGTGCTTCTTCCTTTGACAGGTTTTCGACAGAATACGATCAGAATTTCCGGGCACATTGAACAAGATCCTTCCCGTAAAAGGTGACGTGGGTCTGTCAGAGCTAGGGCTGCAACCCGAAGACAGAGATATGCTGATACAGAGAGTTAACATCGTGTTTCATAGTGCGGCCACCGTGCGTTTTGATGAGCCGCTAAAAATCGCCGTCGATCTGAATATGATGGGCACCGATCGTATGCTGGACTTGTGCAAGCGCATGACAAATCTTATTAGTGTCATTCACGTCAGCACGGCCTACAGTAATGCCGATCGACGGGAAATTGAAGAATCGATATACATGTAAGTTATACATACATGTGATATTTATATGAATAATATAGTACTCTCTCTGCTACTACATTTTTATATTAAGGACTGTTTTATACTCACATACAAATGACATACGTTGCCTAATAATATATTATTATTTTTCAAACAACATCAAGCGATCAGTGTAGACTAGTAATCAATAAACGGTTGGTAAATCCTGGCAAAAAACTTGTTAGGCTTGCGGTTGATAATATTTTCAATTACTCATATGTTTCTATCATATGTAAAGGAAGGTGAAAGTATCGTGTCACAGTATCGACAAGTTCATACATTAAAACAATATAAATGGAAAAATGCAGGTCGTAGATATGAGTGAAGCATTTTTCTTCAAGAATATACATAGTATCTGATAAGCAGAACGGAATAGGGATCTAATGACTGAGTTATAAGTGCATACATTAGTAAGACAGCTATTTCTTGCTAGCAATCTTGTTACGATGCAATATTCATTGCATATATTTTTCATTGTATGCACAATGTAAATTGTATTTTATTACTCTTTGTCAGTTCGTATTTCGATAAAGGCATTTAAAAACACTCTTAAAGTTCGCTCAAATTATTGGTAATTATAATTTACGATTATCAACAATATAATCGTAACAATTTCATTCATAGTTTTATATGAATCATATCACCTAAAGTTCGCACGTGCAGGAGCGATTAGATTTTCCGTCACATCTGAACCGCGCGCACTTTGAGCGATATAGGTAATTCGATCACGAGATGATTAAGTGATTATAATTCAAAAACTATTAAAACTTCGACATTTTAATATTAGAATTTTCATCTTAAAATAATCTCAACAATCTATCCTGTTATACGGTCTTTACTGAACATCCTCTATAAATATACTGAAAAGAAAATTTGTTCACTTGAGACTAGATTAGTTCAATTTATCTTTATTTCTTTTATTGAAGAATGAACGTATTTAAGTAAAATTATTTAATAATATATTTAATTTAAATACATTCTTCAACTAAAAATATATGATCGAATTAATTAAATTAAATCAAATTAACAACTTTTCTCAGTGTATGTATGTCAAGATGTGGCAAAAAATGTTAACAGCATTATTAACAATCAATAGCAATACAATAGAAAATAATCTTCTTAATTCAATAATAATATTAATGAAACAAATAACAACAAATAAGTTAATAAATAACAAATCAAATTAAATAATAAAATAATATTAAATAATATTTTATTATAACAAGAATATGCGTTATTTATTTCACTAATTGTTGAATTAATAAGTGTTAAATAAGTTACTTTCATAACATACATTTAATATAAAATAAGCAAATCATTTTGCTTGTTTCATGTCTTTGTTATTCCTTTAATTTTACTTCCCTTGTATAATTTTATTGATTCTAACTTTTGTCACGTTTATATCTGTTTCTTTACTCTCAACAAATATTATAAGTTATAACCGCATGTACAATTTTATTCATTTTATCGTACTCTTATCAATAAGATTATTTTCGATTAGACTTGTTGTTAACAAATGTTCTTAAAATACCATTTTTCCCACATACAGTATAAAAAATTAAAAATAAAATTTTGTCTTTAATTCTGATGCTAAATTACAGATCATTTAAATTTCTAAAGTGTGCTTGATAATGGCTAATGTTACAGCACGGAGGTGAAGCCATACACGGTGATCGATATATGCGAAAATTTGAACGACGAGACATTAGAAATAATAGAGAAGAAATTGATTGGCAAACATCCGAATACGTATACGTTAACGAAAGGCTTGGCGGAGCAGATTGTGATGTCTAAAGGAAGTGGTTTACCAATCGCTATTGTACGACCAAGTATAGTCTGCGCCGCGTACCAAGAACCATTTCCAGGATGGATAGATAATACTTGCGGTATTACAGGTACGGGCGCGCGCGATCATAATTAACTATAATTGTACCAATTAATTATACTAACATTATAATTTCATATTTAACAATATAAATATAATGTAATACATGTTGTACATAACAGTTACATTGTCGAATGTAAAATTAAAACATTGATAATAACATGTTACTCTTAATTGATGTTTACTGAGTTATTTTTAAATTTAAAAAACTTAAAAAGTTTTAAAGCGATATTTCTCACAAAAGAGTTCGCAACGTGATTTAAAGTGCATATGTTTGACTTGTTAGGACTATATATGGACGATATATTGGGTCGGGGAAAAAGTTTTTTTACGTATATGCAAAGGACATTTATTTCATAACATCTTCGTTAAAAATAAACGAAAGTTAAATTTAAAAAAACAATTTTCAAGCTTGAAATCTATCTTGCGAAAATTTCGTAATGGGTTGAGAAAAGATCCTTTTACATATACCGTAAAGTGGGGCTAAGCGAGCCACGTGGGGTAAAGCGAGCTGCATGTGAATATTTATTTACGAACTCTGAATTCTTGTTATTACTTATTCGGATAGAACTATAAGCACTGCGGCATATTGTAGTGTAAGTGTGATACTTTAATTTTCCCCAGTTTCTCATTGACATAATTTTAAGCTATTTAAAGTATTTTTCTCATTTTTTTTTCGAATTACACAGGTTTTTTTCGAATCATTGAAATTTGAAGGGTAAAGCGAGCCATGGTTCGAAATTACAAACCGGCAACAAGATCGTCCCGCCTTTTTAAATACTCCTCAGGACAGATGGAAAAAGCGATCCATGAAGCCAAGGCGGGTCGACTAAGCATTAACAAAGTTGCTGAAAAATATGATGTTCCTGCTCTAGGAACGTTAAGGAATTTTCATTATTGTTTGAGAATTGGAATTTATGAGTTAATTTATAAGTTGTAAAACATGTTCCTGACCTCTGTTTATTGTTAGAAACGAACTTAAGTTCGTAATCATTATAAATTTGTCGTTTCAATCGAACCTAGTTTCGCATTTAAAACAAATGGCTCGCTTAGCCCCACCTTGCGGGGTAAACCGAGCCAGGCTTTTGCCATTAATAATTCAATTCCTATGCTTCCGATAAGCGTTGTAAATAGTTAATCTGAAAGTTAACATGTCTGAGATTATATATTCAAAGCATCAGAATTTAATTTAATGTATTTAACCTTTTTTCACGCGAAAAACCTTAAAAACCGGCTCGCTTAGCCTCACTTTACGGTATGTAAGAGGATTTTTACCTCAACTCATTATTATGTTGTTGAAAAAAATAATTTATTTCATGGTTGACCTCGCCTTTTTTTCGATACAATAAATCTTATAATATATTTGTTTATTAAAAACATTTATTTTCCATTTTGAAAGCGTTAAATATAAAGTCTATTGACTTTAAAAATCAAAATAATCAGTAAGGTTTAATCTTTTCTTTTCAGTTATCGTTAATACATTTTTCAATTTGACAAGTTATTATTAGAGGAAATAAATATTCTTCATAAATAAATACAGATTTATTGTACTGAGAAAAAATGAGATTTGTCACGAATTGAATTTTTTTTCACAGCATAATTTCCATAGCATATTTTTTTAGCATACATGTGCTACATTTTATTATTTGACAGGTATAATGACAGAAATTGGTAGAGGCACTGTTAGAAGTATTGTATGTAACGCAAATTTAGTGGTAGACGTTGTACCTGTCGATTTTGTTGTGAATACATTGATTTGCGCATCTTGGCATAATTTTGTACAACATACTGACACAATAAGGGTTTACAATTGTACCAGCAGTACACTACATCCGATTACGTGAGTATACAGCAATAAACGTAACAACAATATACATAGTAAAATAATCAAATAAATGTATACTCGACATGTGCGTGCGTGCGTGCGTGCGTGCGTGCGTGCATGCTTACGTACGTCCACGCTCGCAGTGACAACCAAAAAGTTGAAATATATTAAATCGAGGAAAAGAGTAAAAATTATGTCCAGATTAAAATTATGTGCAGATAGCATCTTTTAATATCTCTGCTTTAAGTGGTAAATTCTATTAATAAATTATTTGTTTAGTGGTTCGCCATTACGCTATGATGACACAATAGTCAGCATTTATTATAACATATATACTTTTAATATTTTAACACTTTCAAACATTTTGAAATATATTCTTCTTTATTTTTCTTAAATTTGAAAATGTTATTACGTAAAATTAAGCATATATATTTGAATATATTATTAATTATTTATCATATTTTATTTTGACTGTATATATTTTGAGTGCAAAGTTAAACAACAATAACATGGCATTTTGCTAACGTAGTCTCCTAAGCGTGTTGATATAATGCTCTGTTTATTTTTGTTTTGTTAATATTTAATTCATATAAAGAGTCTATAAAATGTTTTCTAAAAATTTATACAAATCATACAAAAATTCTAAGAAATTATGTGAAAGATTGTAAAAAAAATGTTCACCAGCATCAGTTTTGAAAAATTGATGAGAAGCAATATCTTCGTTATTATGTATTTTTTGTTGAATAGGATCAGTGAATTTGATTCGATGCACTCAATATGCATTAGTCCACATTAGTGTGTCTAACCGAATTCACTATATTATACGTATTCTGTCGTTATATGTATATGTATTGAATCGTTATAGATGGGGCGAATTTGGATATCTCACGAGGAAACATGCTTTACAATCACCATCAAAGTACGTGATGTGGTATCCGGATTTCACATTTAGGACAAACAAATTTATTCACGCTATCATAGTGGCCACGTTGCACTTTTTACCTGCATTCATCATAGACCTTATATTAAGGGTCCAAGGTTGTAAACCTATGTAAGTATACCTTCTCTCAATTTTAATCGTGTGGAAATTTAATTCAATAGCAATAAATATGCTGTTTTCTTTCAGAATGATGAAAATCACTAAACGATTTGAACGTGCCGCTAAAACCGGAGAATTCTTTGCGATGAACGAGTGGAAATTTCATACAGATAACATGATGAAACTGGTAAAATTTGTAAAAGCATCGGAAGAATGTAGCAACTTTAATGTGGATATTAGAAATGTCGATTGGGATGTATTCTTACATCAATATATGTTAGGAATTCGAAAGTATATTTTGAAAGACAACCTAGACACGTTAAATAACGCCCGAAGTCGATTATTAAGGTAAGTCTTTCAATTTCATACCTTACAATTCTTTCAGGTTCACAATATACTATGTGAGACATAAATCAATTGTAATGATGTGTTACAGGTTGTATTGGATGCATAAATTTACCAAAATATTCAGTATATTCGTGTTATTAGGAATGATCAGATGCGCCGGTCGGTGATGTCATCGAGAGCTTGAATTGCGATGCGCGCGATCCGAGAAACGTTGCAAAAATATAGTAAGAAAAAATATTATGAGAAGAAGCTGTGAAGGCTTACGCCTTATTTTAAAGACTACAACTTTCGTCAAGTACTAATATACTAATTTATCAAATATTGATGAAAGAGATAATATTTTGAAAAATGTTGAAAATACAAGATTTTACAAATATATTACATATATAGACTTGGCCATGAGTGTAATACTCAATTTATTGCATCTTCTTGGAAAGAGCAATAAGTAAAGCCACAAAAAGACAAAATATTAATAAATTATAAATTGTTATAAAAACTATATAATATAAACTAACAAATTATTAACAAAATTTTAATTATATATTATATATGTATGTATATATTAGAATATATTAAAGATTTTAAAGAATTATTTTGAATCGTAGCCCTGTTTCTCTTTATTAGTATAAAATTTTAATTGTTTCTAAAAATAAATATTATTTTTCAATAAAACTATTTTTCATTTATTTTTCATTTAATATAGAACGTTTATGTCAATTTTTGTAAGCGTCTTATACTTATGACCAAGACTATATATTATAATAAAACTTTTATTTAATATGTAGATTCACACTTTTCACAATACTGAATTAAACTTGGCAAGACTGTTTCAATTTCTTAACGTATTGTTATGCCGCGCGTCTGTTTCGCGAGCCCACGCGATCGCGCACTCTCGAACCGCGAATAAAAAGACATGTGTTTACAAAAGAAGAACAAAGAGTACTTTATTATTCGCGCGTTCTTTTTTTATTTAGTTTTACAAACAGAACGAAATCGAGTATAATTCTAAGGATCACAGCAGTAGGAAAAATGTCCACACGAGGCGACCGCCAGATTCAAAATTCATTTGACAGCAGAGGTACGTTCAGAATCGTCGTCTGGATGCACCCAGATGTTGTTTTATCCTTGTTGTTCACGAATGATAAACAAGAATAACACGACACCTGGGTGCACTCAGATGATGATTCTGAACGCAACCCTAAGGAGCTATAGTCGTCCCGACAACGCGCTCTTTACTTGATTCTTTCGAAAACGGCATAACATCGGCACGGAGCGGGCATAACAGTACGATTGGCACATGCATAAAAATAGGTCCATTTTCAGCTGTTCTATCGATATGCTCAAAGTCCCATCAGATGACAGAGAATTAAAAGGACTTGCAAACTCTCCTTTATATTAATCCACATCAAAACATTTCTTCTGCAAATAGTTATCATATTGCTGCATCATAAAGGAATATAATGTATTTTAAACAATTGCAAGATATTTTTAAAAATATGAGGGAAATGAGAAAAAGCCGTAGATTTCTTACTAAATAATCACTTTATGTTTTGTATCTCATTTAAATTATCCAATTTTTTGAGCCTTTTTAATGTTAAAATATTAAGGTAAAATGACATTTCTGCTCAGAGACCAAATATATCGAGTGTATTATATGCATACATGATCTAAACTATAGTACAAAATGAATAATTGAAATTTTAAATGTAATAATATACTTGCGAAGACTGATTTTAATCAAATATTTTAAAAACGATATGAAAAACAAAGATCTACATTGTTGCTTTGTTAATTATTATGAAAATCGAAACAAAATTATTTTTGCTAATCCCATACATCTTAATGATTAAATTAATCAATTATATGTATATCACTCTCAGGAACAGATACATTTGTTTGTAATCAAAAAGAAAAAAAATATTTTTTTTAACACTTAAATCGTGTGAGAAATATGCGATTATCGCTTATTCTAAAATTAAACCAGATATTATATATTCTTTTCACGAAGAAAATAACTAGAGTTAACGCAACTCGTGAGTCGCTCGTTATTTATTAAAAAGTTATTAACGAAATAATTAGTATAAAGAGAATGTAATTTTTTATCATAAGGTATATATTTTACATATATTCTGTTAAATAATTTACACAATACTGTTCTTTAATGTTAAAACGGAATAAATAATGAGACATTTCACGCGAAGTAAAATTCACTCCCATATTCCCTCCTATTTAGGGATTCGACTTTCTGTGCGAAGTGAGACCGGTCCACCCCACGTAAAGCGAAGTCATTTCCAGCTCCCCCAGAAAGACTACATCGGCCATTGCCTAGTAATTTTTTATTGCTTTATCAAGGAGAAAATTTTTAATTTTATACGTTTTTAATTTTATGTATAAAAATCAATGTCATCAAAACGATCATCCCCTGTTCGATATATTTACTAAATTATAGTTTATCATCACTTAAATTAACATAAACAATAATAAAATTTCCATAACAAAAACAGAAAACGTGTTCGCTTTGTTTAATCTGGCTGCATCCGGGGAGCGCGTACTTAGCGCTGTTATGTCACTTTAATCTCTGTGAAGTTGACTCCACTTTTTCAAAATTTGGAAAAATTAAACAGAATTCTGGTTCTAAGAGTTCGAAAGTTCTATGCTGGTTTTAAAAAGAATTTCGTCGATTAAAGCACATGACAACACCATTTATGTATAGGGGGGAGGCCAATATCACTTATATTTTTTGAATTTCGCTTGTTTTTTCCAAATTTTAAAAAAGTGGGGCCTGCTTCATACAGGTGTTATCGTTTCTTCTTCAAGTGCCATACACTGTCACAGCGCGCGTAAACACCTCTCTCTTATATACCTATATACTCGCACGTTAATTGATTGTACATATACACAAGGTATGAGGACCTACAGTTTAAATGCTAAATCTGAACGACAATTTTTGGTAGAGAGGTTTCCTGAGCAAGTGTACTACTCAGTGGTTTGCCATTGCCTTCCGAGAGAAACTATATATGAGCGTACAAAAATTTTTCTACCTGAGATCGAACCCGGAATCTCTAGTGTAGCAAAATTATACACCACGCTCGCGCTTTATCCATTGTAAAATAATAAGGATAGAATGATGCATTAGCATTGGCTGCATTCAGCAAACTGAACAATTGAATGAGCGCTTGCTGCTATATTGATATATTCTTCTAGATCTAAAATTCTGGTTGGGTAATTCTAAAAGAATTCACTAATAACTGCGAACGCTCACTTAACTGTTGAGCCTACTGAATGCGCCCCATTGATAGCGCGCTCGCCAAACACAACCTCTGTCACCTCTATCTATATTAACATTTTCATACTATTTTAATAATGAACAATGTAAATAACAAATCAGTAATGTATTACAACAAATGCATCTATTTTATAGAATATAGACTATTTTCTTTATGTGTATATGTATATTATGTATATGTACATTATATTGTAATCAATTTATACTCTATGTATTACGACAGATAAATCGTAATATATCATAAATTTGATCCTTGAAAGTTAATAAATTGTAAGAAATATAATGTGTCTAATAATATATGGCCAAAGATCGATATACATATATATTTTGCAATTGGATTTCTGTGTGGAATATTAATATGAAAATTCTCGGGTCGATCTTTCACAAAATGAATAATTTACTTTTTATACTCCGATTTTTATTTGACGTACAATAAAGTATTACATTAATAGGTATATAATAGAAAAAAAAACTTTATTTAATCGAAATATTGTATGATATTGCAAAAACGTAACAATATCATGATGTTCTTAATCCTCAAGTCGAATATTTTATCGCGTATATCAAGCGCATAATATTTATGACTGTTATAAAAGCTTTCAAATATCTAAATCACTTTTTCTCTGAACGTATATCGTAGATAAGTATGGACAAAAACAAATAAAATATATTTTTAGTAAGCAATGTCAAAACTATATGTTTTTATATGTATCTATACATATTAATATATATGTATATATACTATATATATAATGCGTACTACTCTGTTATCATGATCTGAAAACTTGTACAAGACTTGTAATATATATATATATATATATATATATATATATATAAATATTTTGTAATTAATAGTTGTCTATTTCGTTTTTTTAAACATACATGTATAATTAAAAATTGAAAATTATTAAGATTCAAGTGTTATCAATAAATAATTGCTTAATATAGCTTTAAAACTGAAAAATTTACGTAGAATATTAATTTAATTGTTAAAATGCACCTCTGTTAAAATATTTTAATTTAACTTAATTTAATTTTTATCTTTCGAAATTTTAAAAATTATAGCTTGGAAATGATTAAATAGTTTATACAATTAAAAGGTGTACCTTAATTTAATTATACAGGATGTCGCGAATTTAAATATCAAAACTTCGGATGCGTTTTGGGATGCGTGTAGGAAATGTAATTTCGAAAAATTTTCCAGCTGCGAACAATCGCGGACTATGCACTACGAATCTGAAGTTCGCCCGTTCCGGACAAGTAAAATCATGATGTAAGAAAACATCATGAGTAAAATCACGTAAAGTCACTAGATTTATAGTAACTTTAGCCCCAGCTCTGGTGGCTCTGGTGGCATGCGCGATGTTTAGTTATTGACTATTTTCGATTTGGAGTGGAGCCTGTCACACATATGACATACGATTGGCTGACGGCCAATCGTGGTCGGCCTGGTTGCGAAAGCCCGAAGTCGAAGCCAATCAAAAGAAGAAGAAGAAACAATTTTCTCTGTTGAATGCAACTTAAGTGATGCTAATTGCATCTAACGTCTTTATCAATATAATGAGCACATGGAAGTTGATACAGCGACGGTGTTACGATTTGCTTTCGTATAAGTATTCATTGCTCGTGGTATTGATAGCGTTTACTTGTATATTCATCGGCATAGTACATTTTGGAGAGGTTAGAATAATATTTATATTTTCTCTTTATGCATACTTTGTATAAATACATTCAAGTAACACAACAGAAGTTTATACTCTAAATCAATTTAATCTATTAATTCTGTTCATCATGCATATATTATCGACAATATTTTACATATTGAAATATCTGATAAACTGAATTAATATTTTATTACACAGGTATGGTTAATATGGAGCAAGGAAAAATATGAAGCGGTTTTTCATTCTTTTAATGATAATATTTTGGGAAAATCTTTCCAAAACAAATTGTGTCAACACGTTCCTATAGATGTAGTGTACACATGGGTAAATGGATCTGATCCAATGTTTTTAGAAAGCCTTCAAAAGCATGTTTCAATTATGGATCTTAGTGCCGTAGCTTCAAGATTCAGTGATAAAGACGAATTGCGTTATTCATTACGATCGTTAGAGATGTATGCACCCTGGGTGAGACATGTTTACATTGTTACCAACGGTCAAATACCAAGTTGGCTTGATATGGATAATCCTCGGGTGACTCTAGTCACTCACGAAGATATTTTTCTGAATAAAAGTGATTTGCCAACTTTTTCTAGTCCTGCTATTGAAAGTCATATTCATAGGTGCTTGGAAATGCGAGATACATTAGTAGCCCATTGGCAAAAGTCGTTATCTCCATTGAGATTTTTTTTTAACAAGAGCAATAAATTTGTATAAAATTTTTTATTAAAGCTAACAGCAAGATTTTCTTTTTAAAAAATGAAAAAAATTATTATTTTTAATTAACAAAATGTGTATAACAACATAAGAGAAGTAAAATTTCTATTTATTAAAATAATATACTTCACAGCTGAAGGAAAAATTTTAGCTGGTCGAATAAAATGTCTGTCATTTTTATTAAATATAACAAATGGATATAACTACATTTGCAATATAAATTTGAGGATTTAATTTTGTTTACATACAATAGAAATAATTTAACTTTCTTTACAATTAGTTCCACTTTTCTCCCTTAATTTTATAAGGTTTGTAACTTTCTAGCACATTTTTAAAACTTTCAATTTATAATAAAAAAAGAATCCAGAAATTTTTTTCAAAATATAATTTGTTTATATTTGGATATAGCTGCTTTTGCATATAGGTTACTCACATGTAACAACTGCATATATAGATATGCAACATTTATCTTGCTTCTTCTAGGATACCTGGAGTCTCTGATAAATTTTTATATTTTAACGACGATGTCATGTTAGGTGCCGAAATCTGGCCGGAGGACTTTGTAACTCAAGCAGGTGGACAAAAAATATACCTGGCATGGTGGGTTCCTGATTGTTCTGAAATCTGTCCATGGGCATGGGTCGGCGATGGATCATGTGACTATGCTTGTAATACAACATTATGCGAATTTGATGGTAACTGAATTATCTTTACTTTATAATGATGATACGCAACTACATTCTTTTACATATTTGAAAAAAACTGAATTGTTGCATAGGCGGAGACTGTCAAACGACTGATGCACCTATAGATAGCGAGATAATGGAAGAGGAAGATGATTATCCTTACAAGTATCTGCAAGATTCTCGTGAAAATAATGAGTTGAAACTATTAAATATATTACGCAAAAAAAACGTTGCTTACTCCTCGCAAAAAAATGCATACAGAGTATCCAAAATACAAACATTGCATTCGTATAATTTTAATATTTCTTCTAAGTCAATCTATAAGTTTCACAATCTCGGAAATAGCAGTTCTAGGGAATTACAAGCACATAGTACAAAATTTGACAAAAAGGATTATAAATCTACAAGAGATTTTAGACCTGTATATTCCAAATTTTTACATGCAAACACTTCGAACAAAACTGCATATCATACCAAACAATTGAAACATTATCGTAATATCATGAATAGGGCACAGTCCAACAATTCAGTTAAATTCAACAAATTTACATATCCCAATCATTGGAAACGTAATGCACGAGGTTTGGACACTTATGCTGAGTCTTTGCTATATGTTAATAAGATATATAATGCAGCTTATGGCCTCGAACGAAGAAGAGTGCCAGCACACATGCCACACTTGATAGATAAATGGATCGTAAACAGTATGCAAGAGAAATTTGAGTCAGAATTTAAGAAAACATCTAGTCATAAAGTGAGAGATTCCGAAGACATGCAATTTGCATTTTCTTATTTTTACTTTTTATCTAGTGAAAAACGAAAGGTATCTGTCGGGGAGATGTTCGACATATTTGACACTGATAAATCACGGTAAGAATATGTTACCAATGTTTATCGAATTGATATTGACTAAAATTATGTACAAGAAAAGTTGTTTTTTTATCCCACTCTCAAAAATGTTTATTTTTTATTTTAGAAAAAAATGTTTGAGACAAGAAATGAAAACCGTTCTACTTTTGTGAAAATTTTTTTTTTAATAAAAAATTAAAGTTTTTGGGAGTGAGATATTAAAATAGTAGACCTCTTTATAGTTTATACAAATCAATCGATGTTTTTAGAACTTGGTCAGACAGAGAAATAAGGACGCTTCTGTCAAGATTATACCCATTGCCGCTCGATTATAATTTAATTATGGAATTCGAAAGTGAGATAATAAATTGTTCACATCGCATAAATCTACCAAAACTTATTGAGATTCCAGCCGAAGAAAGATACCTAGATTCTACTCTCGTAAGTACGAATCGCATTCTTCATTGCTCTTCATTTAATACTCAATATTTGGTATAACAAGTAAAAAATTGCAATTTTATTTTTTACAGCCGATAGTTTCTAAAGAATTGATATTGAACTGTGAAACAGTTTTTAGAAAAATGCAATCAAAATTTAGCAAAAGTAATCATTATCCGCATGAAATAATAAAAGCTGGAAAAAATGAAATTTTCGAGATGTTGACCAGCAACGTTTCCTTAACGGTACAATTGCTCGATGAAATTCGGAGAGATCCCAAGTACGTGTCTCTCTTCCATCCATACTATGTATCAAGCCTGTACAAAGCTCGACTCGTGAGCCAAAACGCTTCTACCTCTCCACTACGCCATCTGGGTAGAGCAAGACAAAGAGTAAATAACAAAAGATAGGTGCCAACGCTCCTTCTGAATTCAGATCCGTCCAAACATCGTTACAATGTGCAACAATACGTTACAATATATTACTGCACTTCTATGCTGTATGAGAACATTTATATTATCTACAGAAAGATCGGTAAAGCATCATTACGAATGCCACAGGTAGAAGCGAAATAAAAAAAGAGCTATTATAATTGCAGATTGGCCTTTTTTGCCATCTTCTGATTAAATTAATCGACAGTCAACCTCAAATGGCAACAGCAGTTTAATGTATCAGAATGTTTCTGTTCTCCTCTTTTTCGGAGATAAAATATAATTAATTATATATAAAATTATACATAATTATGTATGAGCAATTTTGTTTTATATTTCTCCAAACATGATTTTTTTTCTAAGACAAACAAAATGAAAATTATTCCTTTATCTTTCATGTTTTTCATTATTATTATTAATAGCATTACTATAGACAACAGGCAATGGAAATTCAACGCATCGAAAAATTGTTCTTATTTTTCTGTTCTACGTTTTTTTCGTCTATACAAATTTGTAGTGGTAAGTTCGTATCAATATAGGCCATTGAATTTATATCTCGGAGCTCTCGTTAATTCCTGTCCCTATTACTTGTGCTTTTCATTATGTTTCCATTTCTACTCTACTGAGACGACGCAGCGGAGAGGTGGAAACGTTTCGACTCACGAATCGAGTTTTGGACAGGCCTGCTATATATTATGTATATCTCTTTTCTATTTCTCTTAAATATTCTAATATAGGAACGATTTACATAATGCATATTAATGCTTCCAGGAAGTTTATCTGTTTGAACGATGACATGGACCCCATTAGACGTTCTGAGAACGAAATTGTTCGCGCTTTGTTAAACGATTTTTATCGTTCGCTGTATCCGCTGCGAAGTACTTTCGAATTACCGTCGCAATATCGAAATCGTTTCTCTCATCTACACAAACTCCTTGAATGGAGAACAAATCGTGCTAAAGCTAGAAACTTGTTACTGTGCCTTCTAGCGTTGCTCCTTATGCTTACATTCTATCATGTACTCTATCATCATATGCGCAGATTGTGCAGAACTCGAGAATTATCTACATTTCTTGTGTGAAGAATCAATATTAATTTTAAATTTTAATATGTATACAGTTATACGATGAAACTGATAATTATTAATTAATTATTAATACAATACGCAGTATTAATTTATAAGTAAATTATGAATTAAATAAGTTTAAGAATATTCGTCTATATTCGGAAGATCTGTCCGTTGAGAATTTTTTAATTTGACATTTTCTAAATAACGATATTTCTATGCTACAATAAATGCTTTTTATAATCGCATCGTAAGAGTAAATTTTATATGCGCGCGCGCAAGGTATGTAAAACAGACCAAATGAATAATATTCTCTTATTTTTGATAATACGAAAAAAATGTTTTAGAATTTAAATGAAAGTGGAACGGTTTCGAAGGAGACGTGTTTTGGTCATGTTGTCTTTTGTTTAAATGGAGGCATTAAAAAAAATTTATATTTTACAATTTGACATATGTTGACATAAAGTATTGAATATCTCGTAAACTCTTGGTTTATATATACATATATATATATATATATATATATGTATATATCTGTATCTTTATATTTTTATGTACAGAATTGTTAAAGAAATCCATATTATGTAAAAAAAGTCATGTAATTTAAAAAAAAAAAGTGGATGTGACCTTCATATCTTTTAGATGCCTCTATAAGACAAGAAAATAATATGATCAAAACACATCCTCCTCGAAAGCGTTCTATCTGAAACATTTTTTTTGTATCATCACAAATAAGCAAATCATTTAGGTGGCCCATTTTATAATAGGTATCTTACCCTTAGGATTTAATTAAAGCTGTGCGAATGATAGTTCCATCTCTAAATCGAAGATCTTAATCTTGCGTGTTATATACATATTTCGTGATTGTTTTTTTCGCATTCATTATTACGAGACGTTATCATAACTTTGATGTCGATCGTTCGTGCAAAGATGGGCAATTCGTGTGTCGGATATTTCGCGGTCCGACCATACCCTCTTGCAGTCTTGCGCACTCGAGCATCCATGCCGTTACGTTTGCAACTCGTTCGGCTGACAAACGAGGTCCTATACCTATATTCCAATTTTAGAATTCTAATAGACAAATGACAAATTAGTGGACGATTATTAACTGCTTGAGTGCCACACGGTATGATCACGCTGCTTACTTTGCTCATATTTTTATCAGAAAAGTTTTACCAGTATAGCCAAGTGTACTGATAATGTGTTCATTGGCAGTTTCTAATTCTGAGAATCTAAGACTAGTATTCATAGTTTATTCTTATATTTAAAACTGTCTTGAGTACATGATCTCAAAATGTTACGAACCAATCAAAGGACCGTATTACCATTTTAAGATATTACTTAAGACCTTAAGACGGCCTTGTAATAAGAATAGATTATGAATATCGTCCAAAAAATTTTTTTTTTTAAATTTATTAAACATGAAAAGTATAATTTTTTTTTACTTGCGATATCTATGACATTTTTTACGTACAACGTAAAAAGCATGAGCGCGGATGCGCCTTTTGTGAACGTTATTTTTCATATAGATTTTTATAATCACTTTTGGTACTCAAACGGCTAAGATATAAAAGAGGATGTTTAGTTACCTGGTACATTCGGATAGCAAGTAATTTTTGCATCCTTTTCTACTCCAGAAGATAAACTTTTATTAGCGTCTTTTACTCCATAAAATTTCTTACTGATCGTATCATTGTTATCGGCACTGTCTTTACCGATCGAACTGTCATTTTTTTGATCAGTTAAAGATTTATCTCCCTTTCCTTCATTAGTAATTTCTCTTTCGAGTGAACTGTTCTCTATCAGCTCTGTTGACAGATCAGCTGTAAAATGTGAAATTTAAATAAGTAAGTTCAACGAGCGTGAGCTACGTAAAACTTCGTTTAAACTGAGGCCGGTATTCATAGTCTGTTTTTATTCGTGACATTTTAAGACAGTAGTAGTGGCATTTTAAGATGGTACTTAAATATGAGAATCTCGATTATGAATATCGACTTAAGAAACATTGTCATTGATATTATATAAATAACAAAAATGTAAAAAACGAATTCGAATGATAAAGGGTGCTTTCCAGCAAGGACAGAATCAGACACTGTAACACAGAGAATCGTTTCATCTTTGTTTAACATAGGCAAACAATAAAGATGTAATGATTCACTGTGTTACACTGTGTCTACTTGTGTCATAGCTAGAAAGCACCCAAAATTTCAATGACTATCATTTTCATTACTTGATATGTAATATATTTGATAGTGTATTTGACAATAGTGTCGATTACTTTTTCAATCACATTTTTAAAATGTTAATGACATTATGTAATTTTTTTATTATATTAATTTATTATATAATATTAGGTGAGCAACCTTAGAAATGTGAAAAAAAATGTTATTTTACTAAATAAACTGAAGTATAATAATACAGATTATGTGAAAAGTAAAGGGAGATAATGATAATTTATAGTTAGAATTTGGAATTTTACAATACAGACTTTATGAAGCTATAAATTATACGGTAGCGTATTTTATCCATTCCATCAAAAAGATGGTAATTTAAAAAAAAAACTATACAGAATAATATTTATTCAACAACTAAACATATGTATAGCTATGTCACAAATTACGTTATATAATAAAAGTTATACGTGCATTTGACATCAATTGTAGACATTCTATTGATTTTTAATTTTTAGCGTCTCAAGATCAAAAATATTTCATAAGCAGTAATGTCATCGATGTAATTTTACATTTCAAAATGGTTTTAAATTTTTAAACATTTAAATTTAATACTTATCGATGACATTGTGTGCAATAATGCAATATATTCGACAAAATATTATTGATAAATATATTCTACAATTTTTCGAATTCAAAATTAAATCTTGTCGAGTGTATTGTCAACAACACTTGTGTATGTGGTGAAAATTTTTTCTAGAATTTTTCAAAATTTTTATATAGATTTTTTTTAGGGTAATTATTTAAAATACCCCTCCGCACCTGAAATATATTTCCGACAATGTTTCGTTTAGTCTATGTATGAGAACATAAGAATAATTATAGTCGGAACCATAGTCGGAGAATAGAATAAACATACTTTTTGACAGATCCACTTCGTCTTTAGATATCAGTTCCGAATCTAAATTAATATCTGCATCGGTATCTTGACTATTTATGGAGCATGTTGTGTGATCGACAGAACTTTCTTTGCACATTGTACGTTCTGTTGTATCTTGATCAAACGCGTCCTTCTCGTTGCCATCGCACGCGAGTTTCGCTAAATATCTATTCGTTTCGAGTATTAAATAGACATTTATCAATGGCTATGTTCAACAGAAAAAGCAGCATTGTAAAATTCTTGAACATGATTAGTTTATACAGTTAGATCCAGTGAGGAACTAAGAGCAAAACCAATCATATTGAAAAATTTTACAACGAAGTTGCAAAGTTGCTTTCTGTACTGAACGAAACCATATATCAATGGCTATGTTCAACAAAACAATAGCTTTGCAATTATTGTAAAATTCTTTAATATGATTTGTTTGTCCTTTTAGATCCAGTTTAGAGGAACTGAGAGTAAATTTAACTATATTAAAAAAATTACAACAGTTGCAAAGCTATTTTTTCTGCTGAATACGGCCGTATGTAGGAATTTATAGGAATGAGAGAAATAGCTGATATGGTGTATGCCACGCTGAGCTTACTCGTATATCTCCATAAACAAAGTGAGCGGGATCATCGCAGATCCTCCGTCTGGCTCGTGGCTAAACAATTGGCAAACCATGATCATCGTCTCGGTGAGATTGGTACCGAGCAAGCCCACTGCTACGGCGAGGAACTTCTTCACTTGGCAAGTGTGATGGAACCCTCCAATCACAAGGATCGTATCGAAATCCCTGTGATCCAGGCAGAGGCAGTTCCAGCGATGCAAGATTGTCTCAATCGGTAGTGTCTTATTGTAATCTGAAAAGGATTACCATATCGTATGAAGTACTTTGTCGAGGACTGGTTTCTCATGACATATGATTTCTCATGACATCGTACTTCCAAATTGCCGCAATAGTACTCTGAGGAAGCCTAAGGTCAAACCGGAAGCCGTGCTCGGTGGCGGATACTCGAGCCGCGACTTAATCGGCGGCTCCTCGCCATCAGCCAGCGCACGGAAGTAGGAGCTGGACCACTTGAGCAGGTCGTAAGGCTGCGTACGTATCGCAGCCTTGCAGAACTGTTTCAGGATTGTCGGCAGCCTAGCTGGTACCGCGAACTCTCGCCCAAACGTTGGCTGTTCGACGAACGACATCCTTGCAACAATCGTCGTCCTCTAAGGGTTGGCTTGGTTAATTGTTGTGCTTTCGAGTGCTCCTCGTTGTCCGGGAAACCATCATCGATGACGGCTTGACGCGCAAAATGCTCCACTTTATAAAGATGATTTTAAATTTTAATGATTGGAACGGACTTACAATTAATTCTTTTTTTTTTTTTTCAAATATAAACAAAATATGAAATTGTTACGCTGTTATTTGATGTAGGTACTTAATACGTCTTACTTTATGTAAAATATTTTTTTTAATATGCCGTTGCATCGTAGCCGCACTATTTCTTCTTTTTAAACGTGATAAATGTTTTAAATATAGTTTACATAAATAAAAAATGTAGCTAATTATATGAAAAAGAACACGATTCAAATATACATGATATTTGATAATTCTGCCGATACATTCGTGGGCAGATAATGCGAACTAAACTGAGACGGAAAGTCCTCTATCATTTTCCAATTTTCGCAAAAGTTAACGAGATATTAATTACTGAAAATCGGCGACTATTGGTTTTCAATAATTTTTTACTTAAGTACTATTAAATTTACAGAAAAACAGTAAGAAATAAAAATTGTTATTTATTTTCTTCTCATAGGGCTGTAAACATTTTTCTAAAATTTTTATCAGAGTCCTATAAGAAGAAAATAAAAGAAAGTAAAATTCAAAAATTTTTACTTTGTAATACTACATTTACTTATTGCCATTTTTACGAACATGAGAAAATGCGCTACAAAAAATTTCGAAGAAATTCTCTGAATTCTATGAAAAAAAAATAAACAATTTTTGTCATTTGCTGTTTTTCTGGAAAGTTAATAGTACTTGAATAAAAAATTATTGAAAACCAATATTCGGCGATTTTTAGTAATTAATATCTCGTTAATTATTGCGAAAATTGTAAAATAGTAGAAACTTTCCATCTCAGTTTAGTTCTATCAGCACACGAGCGACGTTTGCAAAATTATCAAATACCATGTATATATTGAGTTAATGAGTTAATAAGAAAAAGACTTTTTTTCCTTTTATTATCAGTAGTTTTAGCCCGTACTTTTACACTGTTTACACGTATACGTACAAACTTATGTATGTACTGTCTACTTCTTTCGTCACGTTTAAATGCAGCGCCATGTTAAATGCACATAACCGTTCAGTCACTGCTTTAACCAATAATATCAAAGATCAACTGACGACACTGACGCCTATGAAAACGCCTCTTTATGCGTGCAATGAAGCTGAACTGAACGCAGCTGTATACTATATACGTGCACCACTGCGCATGCGTGAAAGAATCCGGTTTAACATGGCGGTTAACGACGATGCTGTGCACGGCGGTGTTTAATGTGATGCATTGATTCGTTTTTGATGTGTTGACAACAACCGTGACTGGCCAGCAAAGTGGTCATCAGCGATACATATACAAGTGACTCGTACAATCCGTGTTCAACGTAAACATTTAACGTAAGTACTACACGATCCGTGAAGATTTAAGAGGAGAAACGTAAGCTGTGCTTGTAGACTGACAAGCAAGATGTCCAAGCCGGATGAGAACGCGGATACCGGCGACACCGGGGACAACTCGAACGGGTCCTCGGCAGAAACCACATCATCCAGGGGCGGCGATTTCGAAACTAAGCTCGAGACGGACCGTAGCAAACGATTCGATTACTTGCTGAAGCAGACTGAGATTTTTTCACACTTTATGACGAACAATCAGAAGGACAAGGCTGGCAGCCCTTTGAAGGTTAAGCCCGGTAGACCCAGGAAACAGCCGGAGAATCCTAAACCGGACTCCGGGGATCACAGACATCGTAAAACTGAACAGGAGGAAGACGAGGAATTGCTGGCAGAGAGTAATGCTAGTGTGGCGCCTACCACTCGATTCGAATCATCTCCACATTACATTAAATCTGGTGAGTTGCGTGACTATCAGATACGTGGCTTAAATTGGATGATATCGCTGTACGAGCATGGTATAAATGGTATTTTGGCGGACGAGATGGGTCTCGGTAAAACGCTGCAGACTATCTCCTTACTGGGATACATGAAACACTTCCGTAATATTCCTGGACCTCACATTGTTATCGTACCAAAATCAACATTGGCCAATTGGATGAACGAGTTCAAGAAATGGTGTCCTAGTCTCAGAGCCGTTTGTCTGATTGGAGATGCAGAAACTAGGAACACCTTCATCAGAGACGTGATGATGCCTGGAGAATGGGACGTGTGTGTGACATCTTATGAGATGGTTATTAAGGAGAAATCTGTATTCAAAAAGTTCAACTGGCGCTACATGGTGATAGATGAAGCTCACAGGATAAAAAACGAGAAGTCCAAGTTATCAGAGATCCTCAGAGAATTTAAAACCACCAATCGACTTCTTTTGACCGGCACACCACTTCAAAACAATCTCCATGAACTGTGGTCTTTGTTGAATTTCCTTCTACCAGATGTATTTAATAGCTCTGATGACTTTGACTCGTGGTTTAATACAAATAGCTTTCTAGGTGATAATTCTTTAGTTGAGAGGTTACATGCAGTTCTGAGACCATTCCTTCTGAGACGATTGAAGTCCGAGGTAGAAAAGGGACTCAAGCCTAAGAAAGAAATTAAGGTATACATCGGTTTGAGTAAAATGCAAAGAGAATGGTATACCAAAGTATTGATGAAGGATATAGATATAGTAAACGGCGCGGGAAAGATAGAGAAGATGAGACTGCAAAACATTCTGATGCAGCTGCGCAAGTGCTGCAATCATCCATACTTGTTTGATGGTGCTGAACCCGGACCGCCATACACTACCGACGAGCATCTCGTCTACAACTGTGGTAAAATGGTGATACTCGATAAACTATTGCCAAAACTACAACAGCAAGAATCTCGAGTTTTGATTTTTAGTCAAATGACAAGAATGCTAGACATCCTAGAGGACTACTGTCATTGGAGATGCTTTCAATATTGTCGTTTAGATGGTAACACGGCTCACGAGGATCGACAGCGGCAGATAAACGAGTACAACGCACCTGGTAGCGAAAAGTTTATTTTCATGCTGTCGACTCGCGCTGGTGGGTTAGGTATCAACTTGGCTACCGCCGATGTCGTCATTATTTACGATTCTGATTGGAATCCGCAGATGGACTTACAGGCGATGGATCGCGCACATCGTATAGGTCAGCAGAAGCAAGTTCGAGTTTTTAGGTTTATTACGGAGAACACGGTGGAAGAAAAGATCGTCGAGCGGGCCGAAGTGAAGTTGCGCTTGGATAAGCTGGTTATTCAGCAAGGACGACTAGTTGACGCCAAGCAAACGGCTTTGAACAAGGATGAAATGTTAAATATGATCAGACACGGTGCAAACGAGGTATTTGCGTCCAAAGATAGCGCCATTACCGACGAGGATATTGACACGATATTACAGAAAGGCGAGGCCAAAACGGAGGAGATGAAACAGAAACTCGAGAGCCTTGGAGAATCTTCGTTACGCAATTTTACCGTCGACGCGCCGACAGATTCCGTTTATCAATTCGAGGGCGAAGATTATCGCGAAAAACAGAAGATCCTTGGAATAGGCAACTGGATCGAGCCGCCTAAACGCGAACGTAAAGCCAATTATGCTGTTGACGCTTATTTCAGAGAAGCGTTGCGAGTGTCGGAGCCAAAGGCGCCGAAAGCACCGAGACCGCCGAAGCAACCGATAGTACAAGACTTCCAATTCTTCCCGCCACGACTTTTCGAGCTGCTGGATCAAGAGATTTACTATTTCAGACAAACAGTCGGCTATAAGGTTCCCAAGAATCCTGAACTTGGATCGGACGCCGCCCGAATTCAGAAGGAGGAACAACGCAAAATTGACGACGCTCAGCCACTCACCGACGAAGAAATTACCGAGAAGGAGAAGTTACTGCTTCAGGGCTTCACCAACTGGACCAAGCGGGACTTCAATCAGTTCATCAAGGCGAATGAGAAGTACGGTCGCGATGATATTGAGAACATCGCGAAGGAGGTTGAAGGAAAAACGCCGGAGGAAGTTATGGAGTATTCGGCCGTTTTCTGGGAACGTTGCCACGAGCTTCAGGATATAGATCGCGTGATGGCTCAGATCGAGCGCGGTGAGGCCAAAATACAGAGACGCGCTGGCATCAAGAAAGCACTGGATGCAAAAATGGCTAGATACCGCGCGCCTTTCCACCAGCTCAGGATAGCCTATGGCACGAACAAGGGCAAAAATTACACCGAGGAGGAGGATCGATTTCTCGTTTGCATGCTACATAAGCTCGGATTCGACAAGGAGAACGTGTACGAGGAGCTTCGTGCCACGGTAAGATCTGCCCCGCAGTTCCGCTTTGACTGGTTTGTCAAATCGCGCACCGCATTGGAGCTGCAGCGTCGCTGCAATACTCTGATAACCCTGATAGAGCGCGAGAATCAAGAACTTGAAGAACGCGAGAGACAGGAGAGGAGAAAGAAGGGCAGCAATGTAGGAACGAAACCGACGTCGAAGCGAAAGGAGAATCTGCCAGCGCCTCAGGACAAGCCGCGGAAAAAGAAGAAGTAAACGACCGAGTACATATGCAACGAGCCTCATCCTGGACTCTTTAGAATACTTTTCACGATTTTTGTGCGTTAAATATGACTGAAATACGGACCACGGGTATTCACACGCACAGGCCGCTTTTTTCTATATTTAAAAATTATATCAATTTTTTTTAGTCATTTTCACCACAGACATACTCTCCATGTGTGATTACAGACTTACTATTTTATATTCCATCGTAAATGAAAATATATTCTTAGGTAACAATTGCCAAGTTCATCAGGCCTCATCAAACTGTTTGTAACGACACAAACTTTTTCATCGTTTATCATAATTGATGATGATCTCTAAAAATCGCATTACTACAAAACTAGATACATTTTGTTAATGCTATGGAATTATCAGTAACCGCGCCGCAGTACTTCCCGATGGACTTAAGCAGAACTTTATAGCAAGTGATTTTCATGTGCTCATGGTTGTTTGACTAAGAGATGAGAGAGAAAGAGAGAAGCGTAAAAAAATACACTATTTATTTCTTTGGATTTATCAAAACTGTTATGTAGGTTGTCATTTAAAATTCTTTTCTCCTTTGTTGTTCCAACAATCTTTAAAATTTAATGTTATATTCGGTATTTATATATATCAGTCGAATTAAGATATTCATACAATTTGTATTAATTAAAATCCTGTACTAGTTTAAGTGTCTCATTGACACAGGATAATTCCATTTTTATTTTAACAGGTTAATATTTCGAAAATATGTAATTTTACTTGAAATGTTTTTTTTTTGTAAAATTATATAATTTCAAAATATTTGCCTGTCAAAATTAAAACGAATCATCTTATATATATTATGTGTTGCTGTAAAATTCTTTTTTATAACACGGTATTAAAAAAAAAGATGTTATAATATGTAAGCGATACATGCGTAATTCTATTTTAGCCAAACATTTTACTCCATAATATTTTTCATCGTATTCTTAATTTAAAATACAATCATGGATTAATTTCAATGAGAAACATTGCTGCTCCATCATTCGGAAAATTGCAGCTTTTCAATATACGTCGAATCCCATAGCGTTTCTAATAAAAACACTTAGGTAGTTTTATATTTAAGTTTACATACGCACACAGGACACCTTAAATAAGAATTTGCAAGAAAATTACATTTAGAACATTGATAATAAATAAATCTTACTTACACAGAAATAAAGGATGTTTTATTTAAATTGTTATGTATATATATATATATATACACACATTTATTTATTTATACATATATATACATACTACTTAACAAAAATAGGAACATTTTCGAACACGCTAAAAAATTCGGAACATAACTCGATGAAAAATCATCGCAAACAAAAAATTAAAAAAGCATTTTACCGGATGAAATTTCTACTTACAAAATCTGTAAAAATGATCACTTTGCTTCAACGTTCGATAATTCGGTAAAAAAACATCGTACAACGTTCATTAAACAAATTGAAAGTAAAGATTCACTTTTTTAATTATTATAAACCGCATTTTCGTGTAATTTTTACCTCACGCCATAGACCATTGTAAAGTTTGTGCAAAATTTTCAGATTTAACGGATATTCATTTCTGTCCATATAATTCCATAAAGAAACAGTCATATTGAAATTTCCATTACAGATTTCGTAAATAGAGATTTCAATCTTTAAAATGCTTTTTTAATTTTTTGTTTGCGATGATTTTTCATCGAGTTCGTGTTCTGAATAAGTATTGCCCAATTTTTAGCGTGTTCAAAAGTGTTCCCTATTTTTTGTTGAGTAATGTATATGTATGTATATATAAGATTACTTCGATACTTGTGAGATATTTGTTGATCGTTGCAATATGATCACTTTCCACAATTGCTTGAAAGGAAATGATACATTATTTGTATATATAAGTTATTATTTATACGTCAAATACTGATCAATTGTCAAAACTATATCATACTTATAATATATGAAAGCTTAATAATTACAAGCGTGATGTACTAATGCTTAATTGCAAGTATAAAAATGTACTGTGAAGAATGTGTATTCAAAAATAGAAACATTTATGATGCTCAAATTTATTGATAAACTAAAAAATTTGTGAACAGTCATTTAGGTTTTTAAATTGAAGGTACTGACATTAGACAAATATTTATATTGTTTTCGTTTAATAAATTACACAAAAAGATAATGGATCTAATATATGAAAATTAATCGAAAATTAACAAAATTTCTTCGTTTTGCACACAATGTAAATGAAAGATTGAAAAATAAGATATACATTGTGTGAATGTATACATATATCTTAAAAGAGAAAACGTTCTGACTTTGACTTTTTTTTTAACCATACTTGAAGCCTCAGAATTTTATATTGCAGAATATAACATCCTATAATTGCATACTTTTATATAATTGTCACAATTCGCCATTTTTCTTTCAATCCAAAGTCATAAAAATACAAATATTTTTAAAAATTACATATAATTTTTACAAGTAATCGCTGGCAATCGATTGTCAAAGAGAAAGAATCCATGTAGTATCAACATTTTTAATTGTGATCTAGACATGTGACGTGATTAGAGTATATTAAAAGGCAAGTACAATTATAATTACAATCATTACATCTTGCTTTCACACAACTTCAAAAGTTCACATCTATAACGAGTTAAAAATTAATAGCCATAGTGCTTATTTATATGCAACATAGGAAACTCGTGGAAAATTCACCTAAAACTAAAGCAAATTCATTATGTTATTTATCTTTCTATTTTTTTCACTGCATTTTTTTAGCATTTTTTTTTCCTTTTAGCAATCGTTCTCAAAATCTATAGATAGTGTTGGTATAATTCAGATTTAATTGGCGATGAAATACATTTAGTTTTCAGTAAATATGTATCCACGATGAATACACAATTATCAATAGTATGATTCGTATATGTTTATAACCATCTATGGCAAAACTGAGCTCATTTAAAGACATGTATTACATTACATTCATATATTTACGAAGTTCAACTGTCATGAAAAGATCAATTACGCAGAATAGCAATCAAAGATAAAAAGAGAAGAATTAGAAATTGTCGAACTGATGATCCGTTAAGTAAATAATTTTACAAATTACGTTTCCTTGTAATGTTTATGAGCAAATATAATAAATCGCTTTCTTGAATCATAAAGCGATTGCAGGTGTTTGTAATATTAAAAGTAAAAAAATTCAATACAAAGAACAAATAAACATCTGATTTAAACTATTTCGCAGATACAGTGTTCGGAAGCAATCACAATTCCCGTATATCTATGCGAACATCAAGATAACGAATTCTGAAATAAATCTAGAGTTTATATATCATTCTATACATGACTTTCTAACGCTTCAATGATTATATTTGCGCTACATTTCAATGTCTGCGACAGCGATAATAATAGGATAATAATACTGACAAATTGTATGGCGGTTTTTAAGCAGACTTTATCCTTACAGAGTGAATATTTTCTAGCAAATATTTTCGTGTTCAACTAAGTACGCGTATACTACAATATATTAATTTAAAATCTACAATTTTTGTAATTATATTCAGCAATATCAATGCTTTCATTTAACAGATACGTTACAGATGCATATATCAAATAATTTTTACATTTTATATCCTTCCCCGATTTTGATTAATCGATAAACGATAATTACATTTTCGTTCGCGGTAATCGGTCCTTAACCTTACTAGGATAATATTGACTTACTAAATTGTCGAACAATTATTTTTGGACTGAATAAACGTGCAGATAAAAATTCTTGCTTTATCATCTAATATATATAGTACATTTTTCTAGAGTGCAGTTGAAAAAGGATTCAGTTTGCTACATGACAATGCTGCTATTTGATTAAATACATTTCAGGTATATTTTCATAAATCATCTCTCATTCATGTTCATCATTCTACTATTAATGTAGATATAAGGAAAAAAAACAACGTTTTTCATATGATTTGTATAACATAAATAAAGCAATCGCAACATTAAAAGTATACAATGAAATATTAAAAGTTCTTCGCACACATTTACAAAGTAATAATGCAATTAAATAATTCTATTCAGCGCAATTTATATACAGTGTTCCATCAGAAACAGAGCGATTAAATACACATAAAATAAATTATATAATTTATAATATATAGATATAATGAAAAAATTCCGAAAATGAGTAAAACATGATTGGACAAGATTATTCTTAACATTTAAAATACATGTTACACAAATGAATACAAATTATACAAAATCATTAATCTTTAATTAAAAATATTCTGATGTTCTGTTTCTGAAGAATCATTCTATGTGAAAAAAGTTATCTTACATCTATATAAAATAAATAAACTTGAAAAATGTATATAACATGACTATTATCAGAGTAAAATAAGAGGAATGAATATTAAGTCAAATGCCGAGTTTACAATAGCCAGCTCACTTAAATAATAGAACTTTTATGTATTTTTTACATAACAATTCAGAAATAATCATCTTCTAAATCAAATATATCTCTTTTATAATCGTAAGTGTAAAATTAATAACGAGTTAATAAGATGCTAGAAATCGGTCTGAGATCTCGAATGAAGAAAGAATTAATCAATCGTATTCTAGTTGTGTGACTGAATTGTTTAAATGATTAATTCTTTCTCGCGTACCGATTTATTAGCATTGTGGAATTGAATATGCTTAAAATTAAATATTTGACCGTGTGGAAGCCGTCTGATTAAAACTGTGAATTGTCTTAACGTTAAATAATTAATTATAATCAATTTAATTACACACAAAATAAGTTTTTCCCTATAAGTCTTTAATAAGTGTATCTTGATGCTAAAATAGGGGTCTCACTAACGCATTTGGGGGAGGGGGGGGAGAAACTTCATATATTTAAATTATAAATACGAATATTTACTTAAAACGGCCATTGCACGCTCGATAAAGGTATAATCTATATTACGAAATAAAAATATTAATAACTTTTGTGAATATAAATTCGAACGAGTAACGTAAAAAATTGACTACTGCTATGAAATGATGATAAATGAATGTCATATGAAAGAGATTTTGAGAGTTGTGCAGAATGCATATAAAAATTAAACGTCAACAGAAATGTAAACGCTTTTAAATTCAATATTTCGTCTATAGTTTTATATACGAATAAGATGGAAATGATCTAAGTTAAAGATTTAATCGAAAATCTCTTAGATGCCTCCAAGGGGGTGGATCAGGTGGTGGAGGCAAAGGGACTGGTTACGGGCGACAATGGCCTCTCTTTCTACCACCTTCGTTACCATCCTCATCCTCGCCACCCCTTCGCACTTCCGTATAACGTTCACCCTTTACACTTACGATCTTATTGTCAAGATATCGTACCATCTTCTTAGGTTCCGTTTTTGGCGCGACTGGACGATGTTCGCGGCAGTCGTCGTCCCTGTCAACATAACTGTATCGTGCGATGATACGAGATTTCAACTCTTCGTCATTCAGCCTCGCCTTGTTACGACCATTGGGCTGAAACAAATGAACGAAATTTAAATTAAAACGCTTTTATACGATCAAACAACGTCGCTATGAAATCTCACCGTTAGAAACGTCAGATTGCTCACGATGCTTTGACCTGCTTCTTGGCGATGTAATGCGAGTTGCGCAGCTTTTGCCATATCTCCTCCAGCTACTGCTAAACAATGCCTCGCTTCGGCAGGACTCGCTGCCGGAAACATCTCTTGCAATACAGCCACTTGATGCCAAGAAGATTCCTGAAAAAGAGTTATAATAAATGCTCGAAAACACGTCTCGTATATGTCTTCGTCTAGTATTTTTCTTACTTCCGAAAAGTATTCTCCGCTGGAATCACTTCCAGCATCACTGGTTTCCGAGAGATGATGAACTCGCATTCTTTGCGTACCGGCCGGTAGAAGAGCAGTCAGACTGATGTGATTCAGCGGATCACTGTGAGACTGACAATTCTCATTCTCTTTACTCTCTTGCTTCAACTTACTCTCTACATCAAGCAACCATTTTGACACAGCCTCTTTTTCGATAGTGGAAAACTCAGGAAGGCAGGCAGATACCATTTCGTATAGTCCGTCCACATCTAAATTTTCTTCCAACGCACTTTCTTCCACCATACTCACTACATAACTGAGTACAATGTCGTCTATTAAACTAAAACAAGAGGTACCTATTAACATTTCCGTCATAGTCAGGAATTTATTAGACAAGAATAAAAGTCATGTAGACATTTATAAAGCAATCGTAATCTGGTTTAGTAACAATAGTAGTTATAATAACCCATTACATAAAATGTCATATAAATCGTAATTTACTGATGTTATAACATCAATAGTTGTCACTTTACATTTATTAGTAAAATATATGGACATATAGAATCAATTTTAAAAGAATGTGTGAACGTTTAAAATGTTACACTTGTATTACCAACTTAAAGGCGACTAATGCCACCAGTTTATAAATGATTATTCAAAGAATTATTCAAGCTACGTAGATGTAATTCATGTTAAGATAAATTAAAATCACTTTTTATATAAATAAAAATACATTTTAAATAACTATTACAAATGTAATTGGCTACTTTCCTTTTAGGAGACATAATGGATACAAATACAGAAAAATACACAAATGATAATTACTTATTTCAAGAATTTATATGTCCATTAATCTATGAAGTTTATCATGAACATTAAATTTATTCAGAATATATTGTAAAAATCCTAGTAAATTTAATATACTTTAATCGAGTTTATTAAATTAAAACTAATTTGATTTGCTTATTATAAAAAGTTTCTTCAATCAATTTTATTCTTTAAATAAAATTAATTCTTGTTTTAATTTATAAAATGAGTTTTTCTAAAATTTTGTAATAAGGATGAGTTTTTAAATTCATAAATTGATTAATCACATAGTGCATAGATGTAGTTTTGTTCCTTAAAAACTGTATTTGCACATAATATAATTGATCAATCGATGAATTGAAAAACTCGCCCTAAGTACTTAGATTATTATCAAAAGAATATTCTTCGTTAAAGAAAACCATTACTTAAAAGATAGAAAATAAATTGTAATCATTTTTCTTAGCAACAGATTGATATTTTTGTTTGTGTGTCGTTCTATATCTTTGTTATTCACTAAATGTTAAAGAAGGCTAGAACAATGTCTGTATCAACTATCTCCTAAAAGGAAAACAGCTGATGGTTATTAAACCAGATTAAGTAAGGAAGTAGTCATAAAAGAAGAAGTATCTGTACCTCAATTGAGCAGTGGGTACCTGCTTCCTAACAAAACTAAATAAGGCTTTCTTCACCAGCTCCTCCTTCTCATCCATCGTCCGACTCATCCTGCAACCGTCAAAAACCCGTTAATACGTATCCTTCGGTGACGCTAAAAATATTCGAAACGATGTGTCCGGATTTGTATGCCTTGAAAGCAAACCTCCTGACGAAACACCCGAGTTCGTGATCTCTCGCGGCTCGCGCTAGTCGCGATTTAACTAACGATGCTACGAATGTTCCTCGCGCGTACGTCAGCGTACGTGCGACAACGTTCATTGATCCCTTAATATAGGTTAAGGGAGACGAGAGGGCAGCAGGTCTCTAATTCGTCAGCCCTTGTCTGCCCTTGTCAGCCCTTGCGCGCGAGATGCCTCTGAATACTTCGACGATGGTCCCTCGAGGGGAGAGACAGAAGCAATTGATCGTGATTGATCACGCGGAATATTTGCATCGCATATAAGTGAATAAGTCGGTACGTAAATAGATAAAAAGGATAGATGTACGAAATTAGGGAAACGATAAAAGCTATCACTCGGCGATGACAGAACGATCACCAACGATCACTGACGGTACAAACTGAGCCGGTCGTCGCTCGCTCACAAGACGAAAACTTTACGCAAAATATGCTGGTGCCCAGTACGAACCTGACCCCACCTGACCCTGAAACCAGGCTACCTCAATCAGGACACTTAAATTTCCGTCTGCAACGCTCTGCAATGCCAAGCAGCCAAGATAAATTTCGTATACAAACAACGCTAGTCGATTTGACAGTTTGACGAGGGGAGGGGTGGACGCGTAGAGATCCTCAAGCTCCTCAAGATAGAAATCAGACACGCCAACCACTGCGTGATTGGCTCTGTCATGTTGTGAAAGAGAATGTTGAGAGAGAGAGAGAGAGAAAGCGCGCGTTGGTATGCGCATGTGCAGTAAGTCTGTAAGGTCTGTAATTTGTGAGGACAATGAAGACAATTAAGTTGCAACACTTTTTTCTTAATGGATTTTGAAGCAGGACTTATGAACTAATAATAAAAACTGAGGTTTTAGTTGACGCGCGAATTAGTGGAGCTACTATTCCTGAAAAACTAGAGTCAGAGAGGAACCTAAGAGTGGCCATGGCGGCCTTTTTCGCGTGATAGGCGAAAGCCACCGTACGCTAGCGGCACCAACATCATTTTTATAAAATGACGTGAACTACGTATCACATTTTCGACACTGTCGATAAAATCGTAGTGTCGATATATGGATTTGGTGCTAAAGCCACAAATATATATAATATTAATTTACAAAAAAATGTTTTTCTTAATCGGATAAGACGTTTTTTTATAGATTTTTGGACGCTAGAAAACAAACAAAGCCCGCTCTCTCGCTATGTCCGTCTTTTTCGTTCTTTTCTTTTTCGTTTTTCCATGTATCAACACTACGATTTTATCGACAGTGTCGAAAATGTGATACGTAGTTCACATCATTTTATAAAAATGATGTTGGTGCCGCTAGCATACGGTGGTTTTCGCCTATCACGCGAAAAAGGCCGCCATGGCCTCTCTCAGGTTTCTCTCTGCTAGAGTCTATAATAAAGAGTACGGCCAAGTTGCTATTAATTCTATTGGTGTTGACAAAATATAGCGAAACCAATAGATGCCTCAAATCTGTTCTTTGCGTGCGCTATTATTCAATTGACAGGAATGGAATAATGAAGGAATAAACTTATTTTTATTAGTTATAAACTTCGTTCTATTTATATAAAAATATACATTTTTAATTAAATAATGTTCATGTATGTTACTATTATTTAATATTATTTAATAGTATCATGCATTGTCATTGCCATGGTTTTACTATTATAAATTTTAATTTTTAAACGCCCTTTTGTGCAATCAATTTTTGTGCGAAATAAGATGTAGCGCTTCATTATATTTTGAAATAAATTCCAGCAAGTTTACAGCGTGTTGCAACGAATGTTAGCCATTTTTTCAGTGACGAAATTTATTAAATGTGTATTTTTATTTTTAACATAAGATGAGTATCTTTTGTGCATTGTGCAGGTTTAAATTTTTCTTCTTGTTCGATTTTAATATTAGAAAACAGATCAATAACTGTTTTAAAAAAACTCTATATTTTGCAAATTTTCTTTTTCTTTTAATTTTCGTAATACAGTTGCATAAGTTCAAGAAGTAACAACACTGAACCATTTCAAACCGAATGAGACAATGCCACAGCGATCCAAGACGGGTGGCTTCTAGAATGAAAATTTATATACTTCAAATGTAATTCTTCGATTGCGCGCCGAAATTTGTGAAACCATTTCGACACAATTTTGATAAATAGAGCAGTTATTAATAAATAAATTTGTAATTATACAGAATATACATCACTTCCGATTTTGAATTAAGTTAAGATTTAAAATTAAGATGAAAAAGGTATAGAATCTCTCGATCTCTTTCTATCTTTCTCACCTCAAATTTTGATGAAAATACGGCTATGCCGCCCCGAATCAATAATAGTATAATAATAAAAATAATAATAGTATAATAGTAATAATAAGACAACAGTAGAAATGTACAATAGAACAATAGAAAATGTACAATAGAAATACAATAAAAATAAATAAAAATACAATAGAAACAATAGAAATAGAGAAAATAAAAACAATGGAAATGTACAACAGAAATAACAAACAATAGAAATAAATACAATAGAAATGTTACACGAGTGACTAATTGATTTTTTAATTTGATTTTAAATTTCGTGCACACTTGTACGGAATAAGTGACTAAACGCATGCGCAACACAGCAGAAGAAGGTGACTGCAGCGCATGCTCATATCGCAGTGTTGCGTGCCGTGACAGATTTCCTAACCTCAATAATCGTGAACTTTAACGTTGAATATGTCGATTCACGGGGCAGAGCGACGCTTTTTTCTGCCAGATTCTTTCGTTTCACGCAAAAACGCGTCGAACAAGTCTAATTTTGTCAATATTGGAGAGGAGGGTGGTTAAGGTAAACATTTACCAAATATATGAAAATACTTAAAATGTATTAAAGAAATCGCAACAGTATGTAACGAGTGAAAGTATTAATATATACAGCATGAAAATGTGACCTGAACGTATGCTTGTATCGTAATAATTCGCAATTGCGACAGATTTTCTAACCTCAATAGTCGTGCATTTCAAACGCTCAATATCTCTATTCGGGAGACAGAGCGACACTTTTTCTGTCAAATTCGTTTCTTTCAAAAACGCATCGAATGAGTGTATATTATCAAAATTTGAGGTAACTGGGGTATTCTATCTTATCAAAATCAAACTCATGCGTTTTCATTCAAAACGAAAGAATCCGATAGAAAAACGTAGCGGTCTGCCCCACGAGATATTAATCGTTAAGTATTGTTCTGGCGACAACTTCCTGACGTGTAGAATAGTTTATTTTATTTCTTTTCGTGTTCGGGGTGTTTACCGACTTTTGAGACGCAGCCTCTAATATACTATTTAATTACCGTCAATTTTAACGCTTAATATTAATTTTCGCAAAATAGGACGACACTATTTTTCTTATCAGATCTTTATTTTTACGCGAAAATATGAAAAAAAGCGCAAACTTGTAAGAATTTTTGGGAATTTGATCTTCCACATTCTCTTTTCAATTAGCATTTTATTTTCTAGATTGAATATCCAAGATGCTATATTTATATCTAACGTATATCTAAACGCATAACATCTATCAATGCGTCAACAAACGGAAAACATTTAAATTTACACTTATATAAAGACTCGCGTTTTTCTCATGTAAAATCTTGCATCTCTTTATCATTATACCTTTTATATAATATATAAAAATTTTAATACATTCAGAACTGCATGTTGTAATATCTGTTTATTTGTAAGATGTATCATCACATGCATTACAATTTATGTAATATGATTCAATTGCGTACAATGTAGGTATCGTCGATGATAATTTATTCAGCATATATCCAATATAAATAATTACAATGTGGAACAAATTGATACAGGATACATTTATTATTTTCAGATAAGATAAGTTATATAACAAAATTCTAGAATTAAAAAATTTAAATGTTTACAATATAAAATCTCTGTCAAGTTTGCCGACAAGACAACCAAATTCGTTATAAGCAGACAGTATATTATTAAATTTTTTTAAAATAAATGCGCAATCTATATCAGATGCTCGTCATATAAATGTATATATACGAAGTTAAAATACACATAGATATTTAAATAAATACACACATTACGAGAAAAATACGCGTTTGACAAGCGGAAATATCTAACGTATTATAGATACCTTCTTCGAAATTCTCCAAACTCTATATAGCACGATTTAATTTTCGATTAGAGATCTCATGATTACAACAACCGAAACTAAAAATAAATTTTCTCACAAGTATTCTTAATAGATTCCAAAAATAACAATCTGTTTTGTTTTACTTCTTGGTTCTCATATATGATGACTCTGATTCAGTTTGTCATTATAATGCATTTCTCCGCTTGTGAGAGTTTCAAGAAAACAAATTACAGGTGTTCTTACACTAGTTTTCATTGAAATTTGTAGTATAATCCAATTACATAGATTATAAGATATCTTTATATCTTATTTTACTATGTCTTTTTATTCTCTTTTTTTTCTCTCGAGGGACTTGTATGTATCTTATTGTGTTCGATTCCGTTGTCCTCGCCAGCGGAAGCATAATCAAGAGAGTCTTTTTTATTATCATCTTTATTACAACTTAATTCTGGTTCTTCGACAATATCTTGCTGTTGCTCTAAGAAATCTGTAGGTACAAACTCCATTTGGTCTTCATTATCGTTTAAATCTGGTGGAGCTGGCAGTTCGCAAAAATGTAATCTTTCGTCTCTATCATTCATTTCCTCGCCACCTGGATCGTCTTCCTCATGTAAACTCATAAGTTTTTCAAAGTCTGAGGAAGCTGTGACTTCGTTATTCTCCGAGAATATCTCCGTCGGGCTAAGAGGTATATCTAAAGGCTCCAGCTTGACTGTCGCGCATGGAGACGTTGGCGTGGTGGGTCGTTGCAAACGTATTTTAGTAAAAGGTCTTGGCTCTACAGATTCGGACAGTTGTCGCTTTTGCGCACGCTTAGGACTAGAAGACGTAGACACCCTTGAAGGTGATGTTTTATTCTCTTTGGATTCTGTCGTACCTTTAGGAACTACATATTGAGATGACAATGGCTTCGTTTGAGGTATAAGTAACTGTGATTTTGCGTTCTGTCGATGTAAAAGAATATATGTAAGTAAATTTTAAAATAAACATTGACGAATGTAATTATAATAAATCGGTGTCTAACTTACTTGAGACGAGGGACTCGGACCGGCTAGTCCCTTCACCTGCAACGCTTCGGCAGCATTCAATAGTTGCGGCAATTTATCGTGAGCAATGTTGACTTCTCCGCGATACATAAATTTAACCAATGCGTCCACCTCCCAAAATTTCAAATCCTTCATTAGAATAATAGGATGTTGACATGGATTCTCCCGCAACAAGTCTGCTAGGTAGTCGCTGCAGGAAGATAAAATCATCTTGTGACATTTCAGAGACTGCCCTTCACATGCCAGGGTCACATCGACAAATTGTTCTGTGTCCAGTAACGACGGGAAGCTACTTTGCATATTACTATGGTAACTGTTCCACCTTAGGCAAACCTGGAACATACAAAAAAGGACGAGTTTAGCAAAAATCTATGGCGAATTGTATTTTTATCTTGTAACAGATCTAACATTCGCATCTACGTACTTCTGTAGGTTGCTGATGCACGACATTATGGGACCCTTGATTAGTTTGTCGCGGTGGCATTTTGATAGTTGTAGGTGCAACTTGTTTCACTTTCAACGGAATAGTTTTTAATACGAGAGTCTTTGGTTGCCGTGGTTGTTGCTGTTGCTGCTGCTGTTGCTGTTGCGATTGCTGTTGTTGAGATAGTGGCGCTGGTGCGATGTTACGAATGTGAGGTCTCATTAAGGATTGCGTTGCGATCCTTATAGCTTTCGTACTTGTACTGCCTTGAGACGTTGATTGTACAACTAGGACAAAAAATAAATATATGGTGTGTGTAAGTCGGAAAAAAAAATGCTGCGGAAAGAATGTAGAGAGCAGTGACGGTAATTAATTTAGATTTAAATTCTGATTATAAATGTCAAATTCTGTAATCCTATAACTGCTCACTTGAAGAATCATTTAGTTAGAAGAATCGTTTAATTAAAAGTTAGAAAACTTGACAATGGTTTTAATTAAAATTTTAATTGATTGAATTAGAAGTTGTAGGATGCAACGTTTTAAATTAACGCCCATGTCTACTAACATAGATTAACTTTAATCACAGTTTGCGTTTTTATACCCGAAACATCAATTCGGCGCGCAATTCAAAAGACTACAAAATATGATACGAGAGGGTGAATCAAATATAAACCGGAATTATTTTTGTACACGCTGTGAGGTGAACGGAGAGGGGTACGGCTTCTGAGCGTTGTAGGTAGGGATGCCTGAAGGAGATTTTCCCGTATGGGACCTCACACTACCGCTTCTTTAGTTAGTATCACGATGTCAGAGTAAGAGGGTACCCTTGTCTGTTGCGCAACGAATTATCAAGTTTCTTGCGATATAAGGCGTAAAACCATCCGAAATTTTGAGAAGGCACAATTCAGGGACAATACCTTTGAAAAGACTCAAGTGTATGCGTGGTATAAATAATTTTTAGGAGGGCGAGAAGCAGTTGAAAATGAAGGTCACCGACGTCGCCTGAGAATCAGTGTGACTGAGGAGAATATTCGCACTGTTTTGCACATCGATTTTCTCCATGAACGTCGTATTATGAACGCCGCATGCATACTACTGACAACTTTTGGACGAAATAAAACTCGTGTATCTCGTCTCGGGAAAAACGCGAATTTCCAATATGAGACGTTATTCTGCTGCACGACAATGCCCGACACCATACAACTGTCCAAACTTGGCAAAAAATTGAGGATTTGTTCTGGACACTGAAACGTCCTTCCTACAGTTCAGACTTATCGCCCCGCGATTATCATTATCATTTTTGTTTACCACTAAAAGAAGGAGGACAGAGATTTGATGACGATGTTGCTGTCGAAGTTTTCGTGCGCGCGATTGGTGTCACAACCACTTTTATTTACGGAATCAAAAAACTATCTATCCGTTGGAAAAATGTGTTTCTAAGTCCGGAGATTATGTACAGAAATAACTATATGTATTTTTCTTATGGTGCTTCAATAAATTTAAAAAAAAAATAATTCCTATTTATATTTGATTCACCCTCGTATATGAATCTAAACAAAGATTTAAAGCACTTTAAGCTTCGACCATCATAGGCTTTGTTTTTTGCTTGTATTCACATTATATGATCCTAATAAATCGTTTATTGTAAAATATAAAATATTAATTAGGAAATAAATTTATTGAGAAATAACAATGAGAAAATAAACATTTTATAAATTCATTTATTACATATAAAAATCTTTTATTATATACAATGTTAAATTGTAAATACATATTTGTATACTTGGAAAAGATATATCACAAGCATTAAAACAAAAATTAGTATTTCACTAATTTATTATGACAATACAACTTGGGTAACCAGCCCAATTACACCGTAAATGTATTTAAATATATGGATAAACCGTTTTACATTAATACTCTACGTGCCTTTTAAACCGTATATTTCAAAATACCTGTGTACCTGTATATTAAAAATTACACGGACTGAAACATGGATATGTATATTACACGTGTATTTACGATTTAGAGATATGAAAGAGGTTACTACTAGATACGACGCATTCAATCGAAAGAAATTAATTTCAAGCAGAAAGGCATCAATAACGTTATTTATCCTGTATAAAAGATGCTATTTATTTTATATTTTTTTATATTACAGTTTTATCAATTAGACAAATTAGATTGCAAAAGTATTTAATTGAAGTGTTTGAAAAAACTGATGAAAACTAAATATGTAACTAAAGTTTATTAAATATTTCATTGTGGTTAAATAAATTCTTTTTTCTTTTAGTAAACATTCATTGTTACTCGTTATTAACTGCTATCATCTATTTTTTTTATTACATTTACAGTTGAAATTTTATTTTAATAAATATAAAATAGACGTAATGAGAGAAAAGGAGAGAGAGAGAGATTAATTTAATTGAAATATCACCTCGTTTTTTTTTAATTAAAGAAATGTAAAATATAAAGTTTATAACTAAAATTCTATTTTAAGAAATAAATACATATAGACATAAAAGTTAAAAATTAATTTAATTAAAATATCTATTTATTTAATAAAAAACAAATTGTAAAATATAAAGCTTATACAGTTATTTTGTAGTCTTACATTATATCCATTTCAATTTATTGCCTTGTGATTTGACTCTTTTACTGATCAATTGACTCTTATATTATATTCTTTTTTTATTATTTTTATCTATTACTGACATTGTTTTTATTATGTTACTATTTGATTCAGAAATGTGGAGTTTCACAATTTACAATATTTGATGTCTTGCGTTGTCGATGGACTCTTGCCATTTTACTCCGATACGATATGTTTTCAATAGCAAGTGAGATTAATAATACCCACATCACAGAATGTATATTCTTATTTTTCGTTTTTTATTAATATTTTTACTTATGTATTCGTGAATTTTTATAATTTCTTTGTTTGTACATCGTTAACGATATTGCGACTTAACATTGATAATGACCTAATTAAGGTCGAAACGTCTGTTTTTAAATTTTATTAAACTTTATATTTATTTTTAACTAATGACATTTTATATTTACTAAGACCTTTATATTTCAACGAATGTTGGCTCGTAGCCCTGTTTGTATTAATTATTTTTTAAATTTATTGAGCCTTGTTATTTATATATTTTTTTATACAGTTAATATTTTATGTTAATAAATATATACAATTCCAATGATTACATTCTCTTTTCTTGAAATGAAATCTAAAAGAATGAATATACTGCCAATATTAAAAAGGAGTAAATATATATATAAAGAGTGACAGATTCGCTCTTTCTCTCGGAGTGAAATTTCAATCTTTTGGAGATTCATTCTAAAGATGGAAAGTCTCACTCCTTTTTTGGAGTAAATCTCTGGAGGAAATCTTATTCAAGAGTGCAAATATTTTCATTCTTTTTTCGATAATAATGGCAGTATTATCATTCTTTGAAGTGAGGATAAAACTTTAAGGGAAAGTATACCTAATGATACGATAATTACCATGATAACGTCTGCCGATCAGCCTGCCCCCGTGATGCACCCTGAGATGCCGGTGCAGATTCGTCGTGCCGCACTGGCGCGGATTTGCACCGCCTCTGACAACGACCGATCCGCAGATGCGGCACTGAGCGCGCAGCGGATCGTTAGTGCACAGGTCGAAGTGTGCCCAGACCGCGCTTGGATTCGCCATGGCACGTAAACTACGCGCGTGGGAGCGCACGCGATGCGTGACGCTTCCATGCCGACCAGATGATGATGGCGGGGACGACGGCGGCAGTGCCGTCGGCAGCAGTGGCGGCGGCGTCAATGAGGCCGGCACGCTCGAGTCGTCGAGATAACAATCCTCCTCGTCCTCCGGTTCCTGCTTCATTGCCAGGCTTCTCCTGGTATTCGCCGTGGAAGTCGTCGTCGCGACGTTCCGCTCTTTGATACCGTTGCGTCGCAGGTTGACAATGTCTAGTGTACAGACGTAGCGACCCTTGCCTATCTGAAACTTCCCCCGAACGAACGATCCGGTGAAATTGCGAGTCACCACCTGTCACCCGTGTTACCGACATTTCATTTTTAAAAAAATGACTCAGCTATAATAATCGTCGCAGACACGTTTTCCGCTGTCAAAGACAGTATTGTGTTTTATCGGGATCAGTCGTTACGTAGGTACGGCTCTGCGTCGGGTATTTCTTATCGTCTAAACGTCGATATAATCGCCGCCGCTTTTTATAGGAACGCACGACTCGCGGTAGCGCGGCACTAAAATAGGTGTTACACACGCGTTAAGTTTAATGGGCAACGTCTCCGCACTGCAATTTACGTTGATAAACAACAAGCTTAATCTTTACGGATGAAAAATTCGTCCGCGCAAATTTCTCAATCCTTATCCGACTAATGATCACAGCCGATAAATGAAAATAAAGAGGTAAATGATTACATTGTTCAACAAAAAGGTACGAAGTAAGTCATGATTCTGAACATTTAAAAGATTTTAGCCATCAGTTGGGTGGATAATGATAATGCTGGCTATACTGCAACTTTCAAGCTTTATAACTCAAAAAGTACTTAATAAAAAATATTTTATTATATAGAGTTTTGTAAAGTCCTCGAGGTAAGCTATAAATACGTAATTAATAATGAGAATATGCAATAAAAAATGAGGGAATTCCGTTTAAAAATTTCAAAGTGATCTTGACAATATCACTTGAGGTTAAATCAATGCGTGGGATTGATACCGTCTTATACCCCCCTCGAAGTGGTGACGTAACTTTTGTCTGAAACTTTTTCCAATCCTACGTCACTCTCTCTCTCTCTTTCTCGTATAATATTAATATTTTAGGGTATCAATTAAAATTAAACATTCTATCATATATGTATATGTGTATATATATATGGATAGATAGGGTAAAGCGGGGCTTTTTCGTTTATTTCTCGTAATAATATTTAAACAGCATAAATCAATTATTAAAGGTTGTGCTTCATTGCTTTCAAGGAGCAATCATGATATTATAAGCACATCACTGCAAATAGACATTGTTTATTATCGTAAATTTTCGTATTACTGTATAAAGTTGAAACTGACGGAATAGCCTCGCGCTCTACCCTTGATAGATAGCTAATTTATTAAAAGCATCCATAGACGAAACTACAAAAATGAACAGATTTTGCTGTAGCACCATTTGAAAATTGTTATTTTGGGTCTAATCGTACTGAAAAATATTCTTTACTAATTCGCTTTTATTTAATAACTGTATTTTGAAACTTTTAACAATTTAATAACTGTATTTTAATACTTTGATGCATAGACTAATGAAATGAATTAATTAGTGTAAAGACAATAGTTAAAAAAAAAGAAATAGTTTGAAAATATGCATATTGCAAATTACATAATTTTTTAAAAAGTAGTAAATAGTCTTTTTTTTACATCAATTGAGATTCATTTCATTATTCTATACATAAAAATATTAAGGTACGCAGTTATAAAAAAATTAATAGGTAGTAGATAAAGATATTTTTTATTTCAATTAGACCAATTAGTAAATAGTAATTTTCAAATAATGATATATACAGCAAAATCCGTCCATTTTTTATAATTTTATTTGAGCAAACTTTTAATCACAGGTATCCCACGATCTACAAAATATCAGTTTCATCAAATTTAACTATTTTTTTCTATAACGGATTAATACGGAATCCTTTTAATAAAATAATTTGATATTTAATTAAATAATTAAATAAATAATATTAATTAAATAATAATTAAAAAATAAATAATTTTATATTAAATTAAATAATTTAAATTGTAACATTTTTACAATAAACTAAATTTTATGATTTCTATAATTATATTTTTATACAGCACAGAAATTTGCAGCAACATTACATATTGCAATGCAATGTTTCAGAAATATTATTTAAATAGAGTAGATATGCAAAATGATTTTAATGTAATATTTTTAAAAAGTAATGAAAAGAAATTACTTTAAGCTTAAATAGTTGTGCCTGTAGCTTGTAATTTATTAAGTCTTAATAAATATCAATCGCGATTTTATATTTTATATGTATTATTATTTAACCTGTGCTTAAATAATTTTGTATATGAAAAATCTTTTATCAGAACTGATACTACAAAGAATTTAGGTGAAAAATTTTTTCATGAAATATAATCATATACAGGGTGTCCGGAATTTATTTACTCATATAAAAGGCATATAGATACATACGTTTGTATATTCTAGATACTATTCCGTATATAATATATATATGTAATAAAAATTAATAAAAATTCTAAATCTTTTCTTTTCTAATCTCTCTAAACTTGTTTCATTTATGAAATAAATATATTTGAACTTATACACCATGAACCATTTTTTTGGTAATATTTATTAATTAGATTTTTTAGTTATACATCCATTAACATATAGCGTTTTAGGCCCGACCGGATTTGTGTCAACCCGTGTTGGATTAATGTTTATCGTTGGTAGACGTAAAGTCTAACATGGTCTACTAAAAGGAGAGCACAAAACGTCATTAATTCAATTCAGATTGGTGCAAACCCGGGCCAGAAACATCAATACAGGGTTCATCGAAATAGCAGTTCTTGTAAGATTGCAGAGATCAAGTGACGCGAGCTGAGGTACAGCTGTAGGATGGATGACAGCTTGGGAACACGATACAATTAATTCCAGAATTCAAGCGTCTTTTTTTATAACGATTTTTTCGTGTGTCTTCCAGAATATAACACTAATACTTATTTTAATAAAAAAAATTGGATTAATTGATTTAATAGCTTTTTAAATATATATTAAATGTAACGTTGCTGCAATGTTACAGCAATGTCGCAGCAATATATTGCATCGTTTCTACAACGTTGCAATCTTGCAAAGACAGATTTCTGCAACATTTCTATTATACAATCTTTCGGTGCTGTATAGGTAACAACTTTTTATACATATACATATAACAGCCTTCATAAGTGCGGAGCAAGGCAAACGATGAATTCTCTCGTTATCGAGACTCTACTATGATTCGTCACTTGACACGCGTGTCCGCGCCATCTTTCTTAATTTTATTGTTTCTTTTTTTCTCTCTGTAATACGAGTGGCCGTGTACTCTGTTAGCGAAAGTTCGCGCGTATCGCGTATGTGGCGCGTTTCGACGGTACGGGGGTGAGTACTCTCTTCACGTGAATCAGCATCAACACGGTAGAGCGTTCATATATTCTTTTTCTCTTCCCGCGACACCTCCGGGAGCGTCGTCTCCCGTCACGTTGTCGTCCCGTCCTCGCCCACCACCCATTCCCCACCGGTTCCCTCTCTCCGCACGCGCTTCGTACACCCACTCTTTGTGTCCCCGCGTCATTCGCGGCGTTCGTCGTTCGCGAGGATCGGCGGTTATAAAATACGGCGACAAGTGCGCGCGCGACCCACCAAGAGATAACCAAGAAGATAAGCGAAGCGGACTACCGGCCTAGGGGCCACTCGTATCGGATCATTCGGATCTCGTGTGACCGGCCTCTGACGCGCGGATCTACCGCGTTACAGATGTGTTCTCGAGAGCGCACACAAGCGATGGATCTTTTTGATATGAAACATCGTATACTCCGGAACGATCGATTCGCGGCAGCGCAGCGTTATCTCACCTCTCCGAGTGTGTTCCTCCGGTTTTACTCGTCGCGATAATGTCACGGGCACGGCGTGTTGCTCGATCGTTGCACGATCGGACTGGACGGTCGTTTCCCGCGGCTTCGCCGTCGGACAACGACGACGATGACGATAGAACGAGGTAATACTTATATATCGTCGAATCTCTGTGGAGATCGACGATCGCGCGTGTCCGTCCCGCGCTCGCTCGCGCCTACCCTCTCCCTCTTCTTGCTCGTTCAGCGTTCTCTCGTGCGGTGCGGTACTCAAATTCCCGTGTGATCATCAGGCGAAGATCGTCGGACACGCGCGGCCACCCTTCGATCACACCTATATATTAATCCTGAATATCGCGCGCCGCGCGGTTCTCCAAGACTCGCGTGAGAGATCGTTATGCGTCGTCGTTTTTAGGTGCTCGCTCGAGACGAATTGGGTGGTGGCCCCGTGTGGCTTGCCGCGCGCGCGCGCGCTATTGCCGCAGAGCGGGATTTTCTCCGAAGCCGAACCCGGGAGTGACTAAAATCGAAATCGGTGAACGAACAGGGGCGCGTCAGGACGCGCATGTGCGACGACGTCGCCGGTCGTCGACGCGTATTGTCGCGTCGCTAGCGTGTATGCGCGCGCGTGCGTACACCCGGCTGTCTCGTTTTCTGCCCTCCCTCCTTCCTCTCCCACCCGCAGTCACTACTCCTCGTTCTCTCTTCTGTTCCTCCGCTGCTTCGGATTGGAATTACTAACCGACCTGACGATGTTCGACCACGAAAAGTCCCGAAACCGAAATGCCGGCATTGACACGCGCGAATTCCGATCGATCGGTGCGTCGACATTGTCGACCGGCTCTGTCGGTTCGTCGCTTCCACTGCTTCCAGCTTCCGCTTCCTCTCACTGGTTTGTCTCACGGTTGGAGCTGGTTGGAGCGCCGAAGAACGTAACTCTTCGTGTAATTATAGAAAAGAATATATTATCATGGAATATATGAAGGAGATGAAACAATAGAGTCGATTGTGTATTTCAAAATGAGGTGCAAATTATAAAAGTGAGAAAATTCACTAGATATCGATCAATTAAATTATTAGTATTCTAATGAATTTGTTCACTTTGTAATTTTCATTTCACTCCGAGGTTACGATCGACCCCAAGATTCGATTTATATATCGAATCTTTTATTTGTACGCGTGACAAAAACGTGCTAGCACGCGCGCGAGTGCCTCGTAATACAGCAAACGCAGAAACGTGACGGGGCATTGTATTTTTGGAACTGAGCGTAATTCATGAATACGCGCGGATTCATCGCGGGAAGCGAACGAACGATCTGCGTCCGATACATTCGTAATATTCTCTTCAATCAATTTTCAGATAATGCAAAATGAATAAATGTCGTCGAGGGACGAAGACGAATGATAAGATTTACAAAAATTATCATTAGGCGCAAATCCGATCAGATGTGTTAGAGCGCGTTCACACCTAGGCGGATAAGCAGCAGCCAATCAGAATTCATCTCCGTTAGATCCTAAAAATATAGATCAGTCAAATAAAAGAGCACGGTATCGTTCTGAATGCACCCTAATGCGGTGATTGCCAGGCGGGTGACAAACACGATCTAATCATGCTAATCCGTTAATTAATGAATTTATAATACAGACAATTATAATATCAATTATCTCCTGTTTAAGATTCGACACCAACTTAAACATTTCTTTCCGAATGACACATTTAATAACGTAAATTATTCAAAATGTTAATTAGCAGTTAAGATAATCAGGACTCTTCGGAAAGCATTTATGTATCTATATTCAAACCTACACGAGAATTCCCATAGAATTCGCAAAACTGCCGGAAATCGGTCAGCGAATCACTGACATATTCCCTGATAGGCGACTTTCTCGAGTAATGAAAATTATTTTAAAAAATTAACAAATAAATTACAATTTATATGATTAAAACAGCACTCTTAAAAAAAAAAGTAATAGGGTACATTCAGAACGAGAATTATCATAAACCTTACAAAACTGTCAAAAATTGACCAATGTCTCGCACATATACATATGGAAAGGCGTCTTTTTCGAATATTAACAATTACATAAAAAATTAATAAATATTTTACAGGATAAGAACTCTTCGGAAAATATTTAAATAACAAAATGAGCATGATATGATGGTGTAAAGCGCGCGAGTCTACCATGTTAGAGGACTCGGATTCGATTCCCTATAGAAATCTAAAAATTTTCATGCACTCGTAGCTCCTTAAATTATAGACTCCATATGTCTGTGTACAACTTCTCATGCGCACAGCGTCTCATCTTCGTTCCCGTAAAGACCACTTTTTTTTTTTAGAAAAAAAATTGTTTACAAATCAAAATAACAATGCTGATCGCCAGAACTCTTTAGAACTATGTATCTTTTTAAGTTCCCGCTACAAAAAATTGTAGCTGGAACTTTCGTTAAACAAAGTGAGTGAACCCGGTGTCTCATCTTGGATTTTCGGTTTCTCGACTTCAATGACTGGATTTGCTTAAGTTATATAGAACTATTGAAAATAAAAGAGTTCTGAGGACTCTCAAAATTTAATAAGTTTCCACACACACAAGATTTCCAAGTGACACGTCAGCTTCACACACGATGAACGTTATCAATTTTTTCTTTAGTTGATTTTATATTATAAAAAGTGCGTAACATACTTCTTTTTAAGAATAATGAATAGATTTCTCATTAATAAATACAAAATTTTTTCAATAAATAAACCTATTTAATGACATTTAGTTTTAGGATATCAAGGAAAGAGAGCGAAACACTTATTCGTAATGATTCATTATTTTTAATGTAATTTTTGTATGTGGTAGCATAGTATAATATTAATTAAATTAATTATACATATTAAATATTTTTTTGTATGCACTGTGTAACCGAATAACAATACAGACGAGACTAGTAGAAGGAGACCTTCATAGCACTACCTTTCTTTTATTCCTTGGCGCAAAATTAAGATTATTTGTCATTTTTTATGTTGTTAATTAATACGGATATTCCGTTACATTTATGCTTATTATTTTCAAGTTATCTCTTATTCTCGAAGCACGACAGCGCTGATTGTAAAACAGAAAGGGGAAAGCTCGCTCTGATTTTATAAATTATTTTAAAAGGATGGTTGATAAGCTAATTAAATAAATAAAACAAGGCTTAAAATACATCATCTCGAAGGCATCGGCAATGATGAATTATCAGTTCGAAAGTACAACTATCGAGAGAATTTATTATATTTTTTAGATATGAAACGATCATTCAAAAATATCCAGTTAATTATTGTCGAAAGTATAATACAATTTGCAAAATTATTATAAGTTTTGTCATCATATTGTCATTATATAACAAATTGCTGCAGAAACCAAACAGAATATGTCACTCCTTGACCAATCAAATAATATATTTCATTTCATTCGATTTCTGATGGTTGATTTTTTGTCGATGTATAACTGTAGTTCAACTCATGCTTACAATGCTCTTTAAATCTCAGAAAGTGTAAAGCCTAATCGAGTCTTGAAAACAAGATGTTAATGTTTATTATATTATGTGAATTTATATACTGCGTATGTAGTCTCCCCCGTGACGCTGATAGATTTTCAGCATTGACGCATACATATTCACTACCGCAGTAATATCACTTAGTTAAATTGAGAATCAATCTAACCAATTTTTGATGCCTATAGCATCTTATTAGATCTTAATAATATGTTGAAAGACATATATTAAAATTTAATATTAAAGTAATAATTTATCAGCGTCGCGGGGGGGACTACATACGCAATATATAAATTCACATAATATAATAAACATTAACATCTTGTTTTCAAGACTCGATTAGGCCTTACACTTTCTGAGATTTTTAAATCATACGAGTCAATTATTATGATCGCTCTTTAAATCATTTCATCCTTGATAAATAAGACGAAATGATGCTCATAAGCATTATGAGCATGAAACAAACCACAACCTAACTTATGTCAAGATTATGGCGAAGTTAGCAGAAAGCGAATTGATTCAAACGCAATCTGTGATGTTCAGCTTGAATCTACTTAACAAAATGTATACTTGACACACATATTGCCATCTTGCTCACTCTATTTCATATATAATATTTTCGAGATATATTCATGATATAAATATACATCAGATGAAACATAAAATTGATGTTTTATCGTCATCAGTTGGTAATTTATCTATAAATTTTTACACATACACACACACACACACACACACACATATTTCTACATAAATTTCCAGCGGCTCTAATTTACATTTCAATTCTTACATTTTTGTATTACATATTAGAAGATTAATCTCAATCTAATAATTTCGGGTATAAATTCATTAAGTTGCCAATGCCTTCAAAATTTGTCAAATGTTGATTCTGTGACAATAATATGTGTAAGATACGTAGAGATATTTCATTAAGATAGACTGTAGCGCAGTCTTTTTTAAGACAAGTCACTTTGTAAGAATGTTGACCTCTCGGTTGTTCTGGTCGAGATACGTTTAAAATAGTTAAAAGAATTTCGCGTACCGGTGGTAATTTAAAAAAAAAAAGCTATGCATTTGTTCTCACAATGGTATGTATTTATTTTGTTTGTATCCGTTCTAACTAACATACCTATTGTACGATGTTGTTTCTACATAATCAGATTTTTTGCATGTGTTTATTTCTAAGTCGATAGCAATTTTCTCGTCTCTGTACGCATAACCGCGAGTCATCGTGCGGTCGTAGCAAAATACGATATCTATCTAAGTATCTTATGTCACAGAGTAAAAAGGAAAAAGAATGTCAAATATCGACTATACAAAAACACGACAGATTCTTGATGCAGTCGTTATGAGAATCGTGGTTACTCGCAACGTTTTACCAAAAACGTTTGCTGAAAAACGACTATGTAGCTCGACTAAAAACGAACTTGTATTAGCAACGGTTGAAGGTGTGTGCCGATATAACTTAGCTCCTTTTATTTATTCAAAATTGACATTGTGCAAAAGTATATGGATGTACGATGACGCTAACAGAATAATCATGGTGATGCGCATTTATTTTTACTCTAGTGTAATGGAACCTCGCAAATGACGATTACGTCACTATACGGAACTCGACAACTATCAATTTTCGTGACGGTTGCGACGGTTCGTATTGGGGCAACAAGAAATAACATCGGTAATGTAATAATAATTATTATAATATATGCAAAGTGTTTGGAGCGTACTTATATACTCGCGGGAGAGACAGTTCCATCAGTTAGAATTCTTGTCCAATCGAGTCGTAACCGATCTCTTTCGAGAATCAAGTATCTGTAATCGACGTTGTTACTTGTCGATGGTTATCAACATCGAAAAGGCCAATCGATGGATGTGTAGGTAGCGCTTTATCGTCGAAGAAGCTGAGCAACGAGGTTGAAGAACAAATCGCATCTTTAAATAACGGCCGCTGGTCAACAGCTTTGTTTTACGTTGATCGCGATCATCGATCGGGCTCGTTCTGAGCCGTCAAACAATCAAGCGACATAAGCGAAGTACGATGGACAGCAGCGAAAAGATGGCTCCTCGCGCTGCAGACTTGCGTAACAACAAGACTCGTAACATAATTACTAGTATTCCGAGTTGCACGGCTTTGTGAAGCCAGTACAGTCTGTAAATAGATAAGCAAATAAATCAGGATTTGAAGAATGACATGTAATCTTCTATTTAAAAAATAAATAAAGTTGCTTAATTATATATAATTTTTAAGTTAAAATTTGTAAGAACGTATATTTAAAAAACCTATTTATTAAATAAGTGGAATAAGAATGAAAGAAAAGAAGTGCGTGTAAAGAGAAAGGATGAACTCTATACTATAAAATGAATTTTCTAGTATTCTCTCTCTTTCTCTCTCATTCCTGATGAAGATAAAAAAAGACTTCTAGTAATTCATTCTCCAAATTTTTCCAGATATTAAACAGACTTTAGGAAAAAATTATATCTCTCAGGCAGACCGTACTGTAATAAAAAGATTGAAAAACGAACAGATGTCTTACTTTGTGATGTACGAGCGAGCAGCTGGCAGTGTATCTGGACTCTCTTTTAAGATAAATTGTCGTATACCCAGAATGTAATGCTCCAAGTATGATGGCCAGTAGATTTCTCTGACGTCAAACATAAATGTTTCTCGATCCTCCGGACTGAGTTGTTCACCCAATCGTCGTACGTTGTCGTCTCTAAAATTCCACTGTTTCGTACTGAAGTACTCCAAACATTTGGCGGCTTTGGAAAGTTTCGTCTGTACACGGACCATTATAGGTCGCGAACCCTTGAGTCGAGCGAGAATATCTAAGATATACGCAGGTAGCGTATGCTGAAATATCACGCACAATTTGTTTATTATGATGGAGCTGTGACAGCGACCGTCCGGATACCAGAGCGCATCGTTCACCGGGTGTAACCGACAATATTTGAATGACAGGTTGACGAACTGTTTCCAGGTTATAGGATTTTGTTGACCGGTGCAACAGTTATAAATCGGAATGGTGTCGGTACGCTGCGTAGCGGTTCTCCATGCCGCGCAAATCATTAAGTTGATCACAATGTCGACGGGCACCAGATCTGCCACTTTATCCTCATGACACAGCATAGTTCTGCAAGAAACCGCGATTTCTAAGATAGATTTATTCAAAGATAATAATTTACAAAAATTATGAGCAAGATTATACTAAAATAACAACATAGATACTATAATAATAACTATTTTTCTTCTATTATAATATTGATATTATAATTATCAATGAGAGAGATGGCTAGCCATTGTCATTACCTGAAGAAACCTTTCCCAGCGGCGGCAATAATCCCTGTCGGGCCATTGCAATTGTCAACCCAACCGGCAACTGGTTCTCTATATGACGACAATACGATCGATGGCCTGACAATCGCTACCGGTAAAGAACCTTTTTCCCGCTGCAGCATTCGCTCAGCCAATGCTTTGGTAAATGTGTATGTATTTGGTCGGCTAGCGATCAGATTTGGTGTAAATTCTTCAAACATTTTGTCGTCCATCCACTCTGTCAGAGCGATCACCTGATCGGGTTCCCGTCCCACCGGATAAATCTCTTCAGCAACATCGTTCCGATCACAATTACAGTATGCCGTTGATACATGTATAAATGCCTACGATCAAACAAATAGTAATTATCGAATATTTCATATGTACATGTTGCGAAAGGTATAGACTAGGAACGTCCATCTTTTGTTTTGTGCCGATCGAATGTGCGCTCCTAATGATGATAATGCTTAAAAATGTATTTTGATGGAGAAAGTTCTAAACAAAAGTACACTTAAGAAAAAGAAAAGATAAAAACTTAAAAAAAAAAAAACAAATATCATTGATGATCAATTGCATAGTGCAATAAATATTAAATTGTACAAGTTCGCTCACTGACTATTACATAAAACTAAAAGAGATCGTGGAATTCATCAAAGACAATCACTCGTAATATTTCAAGCGCTTCATTTGGACATAAAATGCGTATGCATAAAATTATAAAATATTTACGTTTTTAATTTAAAATATTTTTTGAAACTTTCACAATATTACTTGACACTTTCATTCATCATACATCATTCGCACTAATTCATTGATTAATTTGTTACCATGAGAAAACAAATGAATTGCTAAATTCATATGAGATTGTTAAACGATGAACGATCGGTGTATGATTTAAGATAGAATCGCGCGATACAATTAGAGTGCAGAGTACAAATACACTCGTATATAAACCGGCTCTATTTACCTTTCGAAATTTGTTGATACAAATCGAATGTATTTCGCTATTAAGCAGAAACTTAGCTAGATTAGTTGCTGATTAATTAAAAACGATGTACATCACACGAACAAATGAAACGAAGAATTCGAAAGATTTTCGAGAGTATATATCTCGAATGTGTATCTTTCAAGATGAGGTTAACCATCCATAGACAAAAGTGTATCATCACTGTAATCTTTCGTAAAGATTTGTAAAAAAAAAGAGATCATTACAGATTAATCTTTTATTAAATTAAATTCACGACTGCAAACTAATTTCGGCTCGATTCGGTTGAACTGAACAATTAGAAGAGAAATCTCTTACCTCCACATTACGCATCCGATTGCATAATTGAACCAATCTTTTGGTGCCCAACATATTTATGGTAACTGAGAGCTTCAAAGCCTCGTCAAATTTCACAGTAGCTGCTGAATGAAAAACGATCGATACGGATCGTATTAACATATTTTGATCATCTGCAGAGATACCCAATTCTGGCTTCGTAATATCGCCAGCTACGGGTATGATTTTTGAAAGCTCGCCGGGAGAATCCCGCCGTAATTTCTCAAAAAGCTGCCAAAATGTGATTTTAATTTTTCGAAAGTGATCAAAATAGGTGAAAAAGGTAATATTTACCGGTCCGTTTAAAAGTTCTTGCAATCTCTCTTGCACATTTTGACCCTTCTTAGGTCTCATTAGAAGGTAGATGTTTTTGATATCTGGACATGATCTCAGTAGCTTCTCGACGAGAACCTTGCCCATAAAACCCGTTGCTCCAGTTATAAAAATGGACCTGTCTCTGTAAAAGTCCTTTATGGATGTGTATTCACTGCCAGCCATCGTGGCCATATCACTATTTGCTAAACACGTTCTTCAAAAAATATCAGAGATTAGAAAAAGACAAAAATATATTTGTATACTTAATAATATATAATTATTCATTAATTTATTTAATTATTATGGCGTATCCTACCTGAATTATTTCGTTCAATTTCCTTAAATTACTTTCGGACAGAAAGTACTTGAGACCTCTTTGTTACCGCGAGAGTAACTCTGTCTTCTCTGTTCCTACTTTCGTTCCTATTATTTTTCACATAAAATCATGAATATTAAATTTGACATTGAAATTCTATTTTACGAAGATACTTCTTTTTTTTAAGATGATAAAACGTGCTTAAAATATGTACATATTAAATAAAAAATGTTTTTATTTAAATAAAAATCGACTTTTACGCTATTTGTCAAATATTTGCATTCGTATAAATATATATTTCGTATAAATATATATTTCATATAACATGTATCGTATTTTATACATACAGGATATTCGAGTTTAACTGTATCCCAAATACTTATTTCTTCTTTTTTATTTCAAATAAAAGTTTCATAATTTAAGGAAAAAAAAATATGATGCGTGGAACAATTTTTGATATTGATACGTGATTCTTTTCAATATTATTATTTTTTAAATGTATAAAAAAAAGTATTTTTTTTTTTACTTAATTCTCTAATCATTTTATATATACAGAGTAGGGCGGGATTATTCTATCAGTTTCAACTTTAAAGTAATATAAAAATTAACGATAGTAAACAATGGGTCTGTTTTTTGTTCCTCCACTGTCTAAAATAGTGCACACGGTGCAATAAGTTGAAGTAAAACAAATATACGTTTGTTTCACTTTAACTTATTGCACCGTGTGTACGTACTAGTTCAGACAGTGCAGGAACATAAAACAGACTCAATATCTCTTTGCAGTGACGTGCTTATTTACATTATACAATCATGATTGCTCCTTGAGGGCACAAGCACAATCTTTAAATAATCAACATGTTCTATCTGATCAAAAACATAAATTTGTAGCAAGAAATGGATGAAAAGGCCCTGCTCTACTTTATAAAAAAAATATAATATAATAACGAATAAATTATTTTTACATTTAATATTTTGATTTTTATATATAATTTTTTAATTTATGTCATTGTTTTGTATATAAGTATTGTAAATATATGTAACTCGTATATCTCCTGCAAAAAGTTTAAAATTAGAAATGTATTAATATTTATATAATATAATATATTATATAAATATTTATATAATATAATATATTATATAAATATAATGAAATATAGTAATTTGATAGACTCGTGTAATGAGAATCAAAAGGAAATAATAATAATGCCTTATCGAGTCATTGCACTTGGTGTTGGTGTGAAGTTGTAAATGTGTTTATTGTAGTAATTTACAGTTTCGGAGTATTGTAGTAATTTCCTAGTTCGGATCCTTATCAAAGTAACAATCTAATTTCAATTTATTGTGTTTCCTGGAACACACACACACTTCATAATATAATAACAATAAGTTTAATTATTAAAGTGAAAATAAACGTAAGTAGATGAATAATATTGTGCATAAAATTGTAGTGTAAATGTGTAAATGGTTATTGAAGATGTGGTACAAAAATTACAAATTAAGTGTGTTTTGTGTGAGATAGTACAATTATGAAATACGATTAGTATTGAACAGGGAAGACTTATAAATAGTTATAAAGTTGTAATTTGAACAGTGATATAATAAAAATAATTATAATTTGACAGTAATATGAATAAATATATGTATAATGTTATTATTGTGGATGTAGCTTAACGGTGATATTATAAAAATATTATAATTTGACAATAAATTAAAAAAGTTAAAACTTACATGATTTATAATATTAGATGGGTGACGTGTAACAAGTTTATGTGTCGAGCGATCATGTGCTAATGAGATTGTTTGTTATAAAAATATGTGATGTAAGTATGTACATATGTTATTGAAAATTTGGAAATCAAATATTTGTAAGTAAACAATCATATGCTTTGTCGAGTAAGTCCGTGTCTGTTTGTAAATTTAAGCTATTTTTTTGTGTATGTATATAAATCATTATATATTCGATAATATATTATATAATAATTATATTATAGAGGAGAATGTCTTAAATTGGACCGTGTTCCAAATCGGACCTTTTTAATTTAAATAAATACGGTTGAGCAAATTTACGTGCTATTTATAATGTAAAGTCTTTATAAGACACCAAACACATGTAACAGCAGTTTGGCAGTACTCTCATAATGTTCATAGAATACTCAAATATGTATTTTCGGCTATCATGCGAAAATTTAAAAAAAAAAAAAGAAAATCCTTATAAATCATTATTTAAAAGATATTAAAATTTGAACAGTAATTGATTTAAGATAATTAAAGAGTGTAGAATTAAAAAATATCAAGAGTTTTGTGATTACTTTTGCAGTTTATTATAAAATTTCCAATAATTTGAAAGGACCCGTTTCCAAATCGGACCTATACAAAAACACTAAAAAGACGAGTAAGCCAGCTAATTCGTCGAAAAAAGAAGATTCGCCACAACCTGGTTGTAGTACTAGTAATCGACCAACCAGATCTGGTCTAAGGAACACTAAATCAATAAAATATCATGTGTCATCAGACTTAGATTGATGGAATTTTTTATTGATTTTAATTCTAATAATATAAACTATATTTTATCACTTTGAGTCTTAAATTACTCGTTTTTACTCAACAAAATTTAATTAAAATATTTTAAAATTCTATCTAAAAGTCCATAAAAGTAGCAGAAGTCCGATTTGAAACTCATAGTTCAAATCGGACTGGAAAATGCATTTTTACATTTTTGATTATAGTTCGACACAGGTAAGAGATACGTCAAAATGATCTTAAGCAAAAATGAAGAAAATTAAATGATCTTTCGAACGGCACCATTAGTTTTACTTTATTTATGCCTTGTAGAGAGGTCTGATTTAGACTACTCTCCTCTATTATATAATTTCATATTATATTATAGTATAATAATTACATAGTATTGTTGTATAAAACAGAAAAAAATGTTTTAAGTGCCTGGTAGAGTGGTTTTTTACGCATAAGGTTGCATGTATTCGATCTATGGATGATTTTTGATTAATTAATAAAAATTAATATTTTTCTTTTCTAACATCACGATTTAATATAATTGTGGTGTCTATTCTTAAATAATTTTTATCATCCTGAAGATTGCCTTCAAATTGATCATATAAACGTGTCTTACATATATAAAGTACACGTATTTAAATTATTCAAAATAATAATAATAATAATATAAACGAAAAAGAAAAGAGACTTATAAGAATTTTATGGAATAAATTTAAAAAGTTAAATAAAACAAAACAGTCATATATAATAAATAAAACCACATCTTACAAAATTACGAAATATACATTTAAAAAGAATACAAATTCTATACAAAACTAATTAATAATATTAATAATAATAAAATAAGGCTATGAACTGAGCAAAGTCTTAATGCAAAGAAATTAAATAATAAAATAAGTTTATTAATACATTAATATACATTTTAACCTACAGGTCATTTTCTATTTAAAGTAATTTATGCAAAGTTTTATTGAAATGCAAAAATTAATCATTTTGTACATATACACAAATAAATACATTATGTTATTTATAGAACATTGAGAAAACTACATGAATGATTTTGAATACCAAAGGGAAGCTGGAGCGATGTCAATTATCATGAATTACAGTGCAACCAAAATCTTCGAATTGGTTTTACGAAATAGCAAAAATTTTTTTGCAAAATTAAAATACGTACAAACAGAAAGTCTGGATGTATCGATTTCAAGAAAAAATTAAAGAAAAATAAAAACATTTACTTACTTTTGACTCATATAGCTGTCACTTGAAGTTAGAGTGCGCTTGATAAATATAAAAATTTTATAATTCATATAAATAGCGTAAGTATTCAGCGAACATTGGATTTGAACAAACCATGTTCAGTTTGTAGAACTAAGCTTGCAAGCCTAGAAAAAATATATTAGTTTGAATGTATGTGTACACTTACGTGAATACGTATGCTTATAGTAAAGATTTAGAATGATAAACAGAGTAATAATTGGATAAGGACAGATGTATGCATAAACGAAAAATAAAAGGGACATTTTAAGAGTCAATAAAAAATGAATTTTAAAAAGTTAAATAACACGTAACAGTCATATATAATAAAAACTTCATCTTACAAAATTCTGTAACAGATGTATGCGTTTGAGTAAATTAGAATGATAATGTAAGAGAGTGAGTTTGAAATTGAAAAGTTCATATTATCGACACCGACTCTAAGTTCGAATCATCGCTCCAGCATATAAAAATAGATTTTTTGTATTATTTTTTAAATAATACAAAAAATCTTAAATTTTAGTGTTATAACAAGAACAAATAATTTCTATATATTATATTTCCATTAAAGATATAAAAAACGCAATAAAAAAATACTAATATTAAAATAATTTTTAAAAAATAAGTATAACACTCGTATGTTTGTACAGTAAAACAATGTATCTTAAACAATGTATCTTAAAAACAATCAATAAATGAGCTTAATATAAGATGTTGAATAAAATTATTTAAAATATATTTAAAACATACGAATTAAAAAGTTAATTTACAAAAACGTTTCGACTAAACAGAGCCGTCATCAATTTTATAAGCGTAAACAACTTTGTAGATAAAAATAATTTTTATTCAAGTTCTAAATCGTCATTAAAAATGTTTTTGTATTATTTTTAAAAGCGATCTAGAATAAATAATCTGTATTTTTTTTTCATTATCTTTTATTATTTTAAAAATATGTGCAATATATTCTTAAGGCGCTTATCTGTTTTATTCCACCCCAATGACTTACCTGATCTTCCTTTGATGATTGCTTTGAATTTATTTGGTTCTTGTGAGAAATGATGAAGTGGTGAGAAAGCCCTTAAAGATAAGGATACAGCACCTGCGTATGACACGACGGTCCCTTTTTAAATACGTATATGTTGAATGATGATTCTTCAATCGGCTTGTAACCAAATTCAATGTCCATCGAATTCATATCGTGTCCCTTGCTGGCACAAACTCGTTGCCTCTGTATACAAAACGAGTAAGATCTTTTCCTGAGATTCTGAATTACGTCATGTAATCAAACGCAAGATATTAATGTTGCGTTTCAAGTCTGAAAACATTTCGGCCCGTAAAGATTTACATACCTAGTATATAAATTATTCTAGAACGATCGCTAAATATTTTGTGTGCTAGTGAAATATGAGTCAAAAGTCTCTACCATTTTGCAGTTTTCGCAATAATTTACAAGATATTAAAAATCGTCGAATATTTATTTATCATATAATTTTTTACTTAAGTATTATCATCTTCACAGAAAAACTTTCTTCTCGTAAAGTTCTGAGAATTTTTTCAGAATATTTTATTAAAGTTTTAATACTGCATTTTCTTATTGGCAACTATATTAGTATTTACCAACATAAGAGAATTCGGTACTAAAAAGTTTAATGTAATATGTAAAGGGATTATCAGAATATTTGGATTTTATACATACTATGAAGGAAAGAAACGTGCATTGGGACAAAATCAAATCGTTGGCTTGAACTTTTCTGACAAGAATAAATCGCGAAGCGTATCTGTCCCCTGGACGAGCAGACGACAAAATATTTGTTATCTTATCGTGTAATATTGACATAATGTGATATTACGGTGTAATATTACTATTTATAATACAAAGTTTTGAATAAGACTGTTATGTGACTACACAATAATTAAGAAACAAGAGCCTTAAATGGTCATCAAGCTAGATCTTAAGTGCTGAAATAATTTTGTGTGAATTTATATACTATATATATGTATGTGTAGTCTTTTTAAACCACGCGCCAAAATTATTTTCGGTCTTGAAACGCAATCTGATTCAACTACTGTAGCAATATCATAAATTAAATTAATAAGCAATTTAATAATTTAATGATGAATCAGGCATTCTATTAGGAAGATATTAATAATTTTATGATCAATCCTATTAGGAAGATGTTAATGTGTTGAAAAACTGAAAATTATTGCAAAAAATATTATGTCGGTCGGGAGTTGAACCCGGATCTCTTGCATTCCGTGCGAGCGTCCTAAGCCTTTAAAGACTACTAACAAGTAAAGTTATCTTTCCGTGACTCGCCGAATTTAATGAAACTTGGTACATTTGTAAAGTGATAAGCACGAGCACCATTGCCAATATAAAAAAATACGTGTCTATTATTTTTGCCTACTCTACAAATATACCAAGTTTCATTAAATTCGGCGAGTCACGGAAAGATAACTTTATTTGTAAAATCAGTATCATTATTTGTATTTATCATTCAATATATAACCGCTTAAATGTTCATGATTTCAGCAAGAACGGATGAAGGAAACAAGCTGAAGATTTCGACAACGAAAAAAATCGTCATGAGAAAAATGACGGAAAACGCAACGGATGTATCCACCGATCTCCTCGTGATCGGTGTCGCACTACGTGCGGATAATTGCCGGCGACTTACTGTGCGTGAGTTCACAATGCGACTTAAATTTATGTAATTATTGCGGCTTGAACGCCATAGCGGATACATCATAGAAACGATTACGATTCAAAAACACTAGAAACAAAGTTGTATTGCGTTACAAGATTTCTATTTATTAACATCTAAATGATAATTTTTGACTACTAAAAAAGAATATAGAGTTAAAAAAATTCCATCATTCACAAATTTTTAGAGATCAAAGCCTTTATTATTTGAAAAAATTCAACAATTTTAAAAAACTTTTTTTAAAGAGAGAAATTTTTTAATTTTTTTTAATTTTATAAGTAAAATGCATAAGAATCATCATTCAGATTAAGATAAAAATTTTAGAAATAAATGTAATATTTTGACGTTAAATATTGTCAAAATAAAATTTATTATTTTGACATTTTTAATGTTTCCGACAACTCTTTGAGTGTCTGACATGAATCTTTTTGAAGTAATGCCTCCAATTCTCCAATCTTCAAATTTTTTCGGCTGACCAGAGCGCTCTTTGTCATTCACGTCAAAATCGTTGTTTTTAAATCTTCTAAACCAATCTCTGTAAGTTGTTTTAGATAGAGCATGCTCCCCAATAAGCCTTCACTAGCAAACGATGACTTTCAGTAGCAGATTTCTTGGGGATAAAACAGAAAAGTAACGCTTCCCGTAAATGCTCTTTCTTTGTACGAAACTCGACATTTTTAATGCAATAAAAAATTGTGTTCTTTGCATCCGATTAAATGTTATACACTGATTATTAAAGCCTATTGATAGTACTTTCATATACGTAAGCAGTTACTTTCGGTCATGTTGAAACAGCACAAATACTGATCTCTCCCAATCAACAGCGAGAATTAATTCAAGCATCTAATACATATTTGCATATTTAATATTTAGTAAATTGCCTGAATAGTAAATTACTTGCATATTTATATGTATGTATATTTACATATTTAAGTAGCTGTAGATTTATGTTGTAGAGCGATCCATGATTAATCCTCATTTCAGATAAGCTACGTTTAAATCAAAATTTAAATCAATTAAATTTTTTAAATTGTAATTGAAGAACCGTTTTTTAAATGATTTAAATCTAGCTCAAATCGGATCTCAGATTGAATCATAACTATAAATATGACTCTCTAAGGAGATTATGGTTAGTCAGAAATTTTGAAAAAATTGATTGTCATAAATCACATTTTTTAAATGATCTTTTAAATATGAACTTTTTATGTGCTGTATTATGTATAACCCTAAAATAAATGACATTGTGTAAGTTAAAAAATATTTAGTATAAACCGCACTTGAAGCTCCAAATCATATACTCGTACTTAAAAAAATTTTTAGTTTCGAGTTTTTCCTCAAAATTATTTTTTCGAAGTCTGTGAGCAAATTATCTCAAAACTGCTGCATCAATTTTTTTCTCTAACTTTGTGTACTTTCTTTAAATATCATTCATTGACCGAAGGATTTTTTTCAATATGTACTTTTTATTTTTTTTGTCTAAATATCCGTTTTTAAGTGAAAATTGGTACTTCAATTTTGAAGAACCGCCATTTTGTCGGAATTTAATTAATCAAAGTATTAATCAATTAAAAACTAGATAAACTACTAATTATATTAACTATTTACTAAAACTTCTTTATTTTTAGTGGTCTGGTTTTGAGCAGTATTGTTTATCGCAAAACACTTTTTGAAAAATGATTTTCCGAACATCTGTTATAACTTTGTTATAAGTCAATACTTTTTTACATAAAAAAGATATAAAGATTTTATCAAGAAAAAGACTTTCTGAAACACAAAAATTTTTATACAAAACTATATCATGATTATTATATATATTATATATATTCTTTATTGCTCTAATAATAGTGTACATATAGCATTAGAAAATGTAGTAAGAGTAGTACAAACAAGTGGCAGGGCGCCAGCAGAACTATTTTTATTAAGTCCTCCTGTTTAACCGAGAGATATAAGAATTTAGAGATATTAAACTATATAAACATAAGTGCAAATAAAGCCTCGTCTGCGATAGACGAAACTTAAAACTAACTACATGTATGTAGTACAATGATATTTTCATGTGACATAGATTGAAAGAAAGAGGCAAATTAATTAAAATTAACCGTCTGAATTTGTTGTTCTCGATTGCAAGCAACAAATTCGTAACTTCCGTAACAAATTATCTCATAGGCGGAGTTTCATAAAAATTGAACGAGCAGTTTACAAAATAAAAGTGAGTAATCACAAAAGAAGTCGCTCGTTTACAAAAGTTTAATAAAAAATTTATATGTGCAAATTAATATTGAATTATATTGTGATTACCGAGAACTGTAAGATAATAAAACCTATCTGATTTTGATAAAATGCATACTTCTTCTGTTATGTGAACCTTCAATTAGTCAGCAATCAGAAGTAAAAATGAATAACGTTTGTCGTATGAAACGTGTTATTAATTTATTAAACGAAAGGTGTCTTTTAGTCTTAATGTCCTTGACTAAGTATTTCAATGAAACATGAACGAGTTTCAAATGAAAAATAACGTTTTTCGCTTTGGTCATGTTAATTATCCTATTCGAGACATGCATACAGAATAGCTATACCTATATATGTATGCTGACGGTTGCGACATTTGTATCACAAAAGTCAAAAATTTGATATTGCAGCAAAAATGTTCTGTTGCGAAAAGATCTTACTTTCACCTCTATGAAGCTGGTACCTCCACCATTAAGAAAAAGTTTGCTCATATCTTTTAACATAAGTGCTAATTTATTGCTAGTTCATTGCTCTAGTCCTGAATTTATTGGTCTTTTTTATTCTAAAAGCGGTAATGTTAAAAATAGGGGTGTTGACTTCACGTTACACTACAGCACCTGCACACACATCTACATAATGCAAGATAAGCGCTTTTTTACATTAAAAAGAATGTTTCTCCAAAAATGTTATCCTTTGATTTTTTGAAACTCCGTTTTGAATTTTTTATGTTATATATTGTATATATGTATATATATATGTATGTAAATATAATAATTTGGAACTATTGTTTTGTTTGTACAATTGAAAATATATGTGTACTATTAATACATGCTTAATATACCTATTACATAAAAGCATTCTTTAGCATTCATGACTCACGACATGTTTGCGATAACCATTAAATTTTACAATGTTCGTTGGTTCTGGCCAAAAAAAAAACACTCGAATTAAATCATCAGGTTTGTGCTTCTCTTTTTTTATGGTTTCATTATTCCGATTTTCAATACATGTTTCAATGGAATATATTACATAAAAAGAACGTAAAGAAATCAGTATGTAAATATATATATTACCATTCATATTTGCAAATCGGCAGTAAAAACAATGTTTTAAAATACAGTAAACAAAAAAAATATGTATGAATGAATAAGGAATCTGTATTGTTGATAAAAAGAATCGTATTGTAAGGTGAAAGAATTAAATATGAATGAAAGATTAATTATTCAATTAAAATCTCTGAGAGTGTCGATTTATGACTTGTGATCTTCGTCAGGAAAATCTTTTCTTTCTCCTA